ACACAGGGAAAACATAGTGCGCTTTGATATGTTATGAAGAATGAAATGTTTCATCTTTCATTGGATCATTTTTTATGCTTCACTATGGCTGACAACCATGATTGGTTTGGGAAAAGGATATCAGTTTACAAAATTTCTTATATTTCCACACCATACTTCACCTTCAGAGGTGGCAGTGGCCTGCTGGCAGTAAACGTGTCACCAGCCTCCCGGTGTAAACAGTGTAGTAGTCTACTTACACAGCGTGCTCTCGAGCAAACGGGGCATGACTCGCATTCAGATGAGAAGCATTGCTGCATTGCAATGCTTCCTCTCATGCACTGGCATTTTTATTCAGTAATGTCATTAATTTGTTTGAGAACCCAAAATGTGAGAACTCATCCTTCCACCACACACACACACACACACACTTCTCCAAGTAGACAGTGTTGAAATCTAGTCATCTTGTTATCAGATAAAAGCTGTTTTTTTTGTTTTTTTTTGTCGATACAGACTGTGGTGAAATGGGAGAGGTAAGGCATGGTTGAAGGACTATGGGTCACATGGCCCTGAACCCCACCCCCCCAACCCCCTTGCATTCTGCGCTTTAAGAAGGGAAAGGCAAGGCCAGCCTGACAGAGGAATAAATTTGATGCTTGCCACCTCTTTTGCTCAGCTGCAACTCACATCACCTTTTTCTTTTTGGTCCAAAACTGCTACTTAACATTGTTGCATATAATTGTTGTCATTTTCCAGACATATATATTCCTGTTTTCTTATCTCACATACTTCTCCATGATCATGTCTGTAGCTAAAATAGCCTCCTCCTCTCAGGTTTCCGTAGCAATTCGTGAAGTTGTTATTGTGTTGTTGCAGCGGAACAAGGGATTAACATTCTCCCCCTTGAATCCTCTGCGGCCTGGAACATTCTGCAGATTCTTCACATAGTCCAGCGACTGGAGGATACCTTTGGAACAAAAAACAAACAGTGTCTCTCAAGCCTGTTAGTGATGCCTCCTCCTCCTCCCCCTATGTAACGGTGGTTGTAAGGATGCACCGGCTGCTCAGAAGGAAGACTCCTCAGCGCTGACTGTTGTCTCGTTTACTATTGATGAAATGGACCTGGCCACTCCTCGTGTCGCAGTGCTCTGGTGAACAGCAGGGGCAGGCCGGTGGTTGGCTATGGTGTCTGACCTGACTGTGTTTGCTCAGGGAAAGAGCAGGAGGGAGGGGGGTTGTGTAACTACTGTATGAGAGGAACATGATCATAAACCTCCCTACCCCCACTCCGAGCAGTTTGACTTATTTGACTCTGCAGACTCAGGTTATTGTCAAAGTTTTTGTTACCTCAGTTTGCAATGTAGTCCCTCAGTAATTGCTTAGTGTAATACAGTATGGACCTAAATAGGGTCAAATATCAATCTGCTGATGCTTCTCATTTATTCCTGTTCATATCAAATACCCACTCAGGGGACTACAAGGATGGTGACGACTTATCTTAAGAGGAGCCCCTTGTTAGGTAGTCCCTTTCCTTTGAAGTAGTGGAAACCCACAATGCCCTGCATAGCTATCTGCAGAGAGCAGCAGCGTAGAAATAGGGCTGCATTAGGAGCATCTATAAATAGAGGATTGTATCCTTGATACCACGGGTTGTTTGGTCACACAGTGAAACCGGGTCGACTTATATGGATTTAAGGCAGCAACTCCCCCTCCCTTACGCTTTCTTCTGGCGGAAGGTATGCATGTTTGGAATTTCTCTTCATTGAGGAATCTGTTAAAATGATGCGGAAGGAAGGGACCTCCTCCAATAAGGCTCATTAGAGTTTGCCTTGGCTGCCCCCTTTTGGTAGGATTCCAAGAAAATGAAGCCTGGCTGATGTCTTTCTCACTCTCTCTCTTTTTTCTTTTTTTTTCTTCTCACTCTGTAAATGTGCAACACTGCTCTTCCTGCTTTAAACACGTTAATGTCAGCATCATATTTCCAATCAAATCACAGCTGTTACGTGAGGACCTGTGTGTGTGTGTGTTGGCATTTGATGATGTAGTTTTAAAAAAAGATCTTTGCCGTTTGTTTTGGACCAGATCCAGGATAGTTAGATACAGTATTCATGAAGTACCGCAGAGCCAGTCAAGTCCTGGTGTGGCAGAACATATACATAGTGTGAAGCTATACTTAGCACAGGAAAGGCCATATAGCTAAATACCCTACTTACTTGTGCTGTCATGAAAACACTCGGCCCCGTAGTAAACTGCAGTGTAACTTCAAGGTGTCTTACAGGAAGACAATTATTGGAAATTCCTGAGGTGCTGCAGTGTATTGAACAAAAATATTGTATTGGGTCTGCTGAGTGAGATATTTTATTTTATTTCTTTTGGGAGGAAATAGCCAGAGATGTTTTGTTTTTTCTTTTGTCATAGAAATCTGAAGGAATTTTCCCAACAGACCATTTCACCTCTTCTGTACTGTTGGATGTGACTGAATGTGAGAAAGAATGACAAGTATTTGAAAAACTGTCAGGAGTGCGACTGAAGTTGGCACTGTGATGTGTGTGTGATGGTGTGTGTGTGTGTGTGTGTGTGTGTGTGTGTGTGTGTGTGTGTGTGTGTGTGTGTGTGTGTGTGTGCGTGTGCTCTGCAGCATTTCTGTAGTGCACAGTCACACTCTTAACCTACACAGATGTTTTGTAAAGCAACATGAAATATTCATTAAGAGATTAGCTCAGCAGCCGGCTTCATTTTCTTGACTGATTCACAAAGCGAACCACCGATGCGCCGACACCCGCTTTTAATTTAAAAGCAAATAAACAAGCAGAGCTCCTTTCCTCTTTCTCTCTGGCACACGCAAATATTCACATACCAACATGCATGTGTGCACGTCACATGCGCGCATGCACACTCATTCTTCATCATGTGTATTCTTCTCTCTCTCTTCTAAGTGTGTGTGTGTGTGATGCAGTTGGCTCAAACAATGACACTGATGACAGGAAAGTAATGTCTGTAGTGTCACAGACTTGCAAATTATATTAACACACATGAAAGTGGTGAAATGTGTGTTTTAATGTACGTTTGTCGGGGGGTTTGTATGATCGTGTGTGTGTGTGTGTGTGTGTGTGTGTGTGTGTGTGTGTGTGTGTGTGTGTGTGTGCGTGTGTGCGCGCACATTTCCTTCCAGCTCTGGCTTTGCACCAGGAGGCGGTTGCTAAGGAACCAGGAGTGCTGTGCCTCTTATTTCAGTTCAGTTCAGCTTTATTGCCCCTGTGGGGAAATTTGTCTTGCAGCAATAACAAAGAGCATAACAATAAATAGTAAACACTTAAGTCCCCAATATACAAACAACACAAGGTCGTTGGGGCAGGGCTTTGCTGCATCCACACTTTCTAATATGCAGAAAAGACACTTTTTATTCTTTTTTTTTTTTTTTTCACAAATGATGACTGATTGATTATGTTACACATTTCCCCTGAAGAAACATGAACTCTTGACTCAGTCTTTCCCAGAGCAGCTCTTTATCTAGACAGAGACTCCTCAAACAGGGAACAATCATTAGCAGAAAACAGCTTGTTACCAGGCCTTTCACAATCATTCATCCAGGTCCACACGCTCTCCAGGTGCCGTTTCTGTGGAGTGGACTCGTCTGAAACTAGGACACTTTTGCCTGCAGTGTCTCAAGATTAGTTAGCAGTGGGAATCATCTGCTTTCTTCCCTTTACATCTGCTTTTCCTGAAATGCCCCTCTATGAATAGGCTACAGACGTCTCCCGTTAGCCATTTTCATGTTTCACTGTAAAGTCAAGTGTAAAGCTGATGAGTTGGTAAAAATTTCCTGAACGAGTACTTCCTGGTAACTTTTGTCTTATCTGCGTCAAAGTTTGGATTTGGGGAGATGTAATTATCTAGAGATAAATGCTGATACAATCATGGTCGTACCGTCAGGAAGAACAATTAGTCAAATGTCTGTCACAAGCAATGGGACAATGCCATGTGTTATTGATAACACATTGTTTTGTGTTTTGGTTTCTCAGTGATCCTCAGTAAAGAATGAGGAGCTTCAATTATTCATGTTGCTCAAGCTTAATTTGAAACACCCCACATAATAATTTTCTGACAAATTTTCTCACAGCCTTGAAGGATATTCAGCCGTTCGTTCTTGGAAGATGTAGTGACAGTGGCAATGAAACCATTTGCGCAGAGTATTAATCAAATTAGAGAATATTACTGAAAATTTACTGGTAACATGTGATTGTAATAAATATTGGTGATAATATCGGTGTGACAACATGATTACATCATACCTGTCTCTGTCTCTTGTGCTGTAATCAAAATGTATATTTACTTGCATCACTTCATTAGGCACGTGTAACATTCAATACAGTCCAATGCAACAGATCAACCATAAATTCTAGCTTTACAAAGATAATAATGTTCAGCGTTTGAGTGGCACTGTCAGAGAGGTGGTAATCTAACTGCATGTTTATTAATGAGCTCGTAGTTTACAGTCGAATTGACCTGGACTTGATTATGCTGGAGATGTTTCTAATGTTTTGCCCACCATATTTACAAACATGAAAGGAGGAAGAATATTAGAAACACACTTCAGTATAATTCAGTCCAGTGCAACACCATCTCCAACCACAACCTCAGTAATAAACAGAGATGAATAAGCATCTTTCAGAAACTTATAACAAAAGATGAACATTAGAAGCTTTGTATAGGAAGAATATGTGGCAGAGCTATTGCAGCGGATTGCATTAGATTGTGTACATGTGTGCTCAGGGAGTGTTTATACACATACTGTGTTTAACACGTCTTCATAATTCTTGCCTGCTTTTCATCACGTAACATGTTCTGAAGCTACTCTACGCTTATAGACATTTAAATCACCATCTGTGCTACATCAGCTTTGGTTTTGTATCTTTTTGACCTTTATTGACCTTGATTTTGTTGTAACAGTGTCCAGCAGTGCAGACTGTTTACACCCACCCAAAACTGACCTCTCCCCCATCTTTCTCTGTCTCCTTCAGTATGCCCAGAACACTGCAAGCTTGCCTGTACAGACAAGGGGGAGTGTTGCCACAGCCAGTGCCTGGGCAGCTGCACTGAACCCAACAACGACATGGCCTGCTCCGCCTGCCTCCACTATTTCCATGAGGACCGCTGTGTTCCAGACTGTCCCCCGGGCACTTACAAGTTTGAGGGCTGGCGCTGCATCAACATGGACCTGTGTTCTCAAGTGCACCTGCCCGGTGACACTCGCTTTGTCATCCACGGGGGAGAATGTATGCCCGACTGCCCCTCTGGCTTCACACGCAATGAGACTAATCGGTAAAGATGTACCCTTCACTTCTAGTTGAGGTCTGATGTGGAAATGCCATGCCAGGTGACACACTGAATGTACAAAATATTAGAAAGAGCTACTTAAAATGAATCATTTTACATTAGGTCTGTAAGATTTCTGAAGGCTGAAGTATTCTTTAATGTTCTGTATTTTAATCTGTAAGGGATCACAACCTGGTCTTCGTCACAGAGGGAGCAAAAGGTCTTAGTATTATTTATTTCCTGGCTAATCTTTCTGTAAATAGATGTGTGGTTTCTCTCACTAAAGCAGCTTGTGTTCACTGTGTACTTGTGCATAATGAATTCATTTGCATAAAGTATCCTTTAGCTGAACTTCACCTGACCCAGGCCCTTCACACGTTCCTTTCTTAAAGTAGGTCTGGAAGCTGGAAGTGCTACAGGTTAAGAGCGTGTTGGACTATTAATGATTCACGTTTAGACAGAAGGAGTGAACTGGTAGATTTTACTGATTAACACTCAAAGGTTTTAAGAAGAGGCCTTAACCGTTTTCTTTGCTTTACAACTCTGTATGCAGCCTTCCTCCTTGTTTAGTCTCGTCAATTCCCAAACTTTCCATGCAGACTGTCTGCTGCTGTAGATTTTTTTGGCCATACCGCTGCTGTTTTGTCTCTGAGGTCAATACAGTGAGTCGCTCTCTCACAAAACAGAGTTCAGATGAGGGCCCATAAAAGATTATACTCTCCGTGTGAGAGGTGACCTTGTATCACGCAATGAATTTATTTGCCTGAATCCTTTGGAATGCTTGGGAGACTGGGGAGTGGACAGATGATTTCAGGGTGAGGTAGAAAAGTTCGCATGAGATTTTAGTCATTCTCTGACAGTTCTTAACATTTTTCCATGTCTCTTTCTCCTTGCTCACGCCTTCCCTCTGCTTCTGCTGCATACAGTATGTTATGCAGTGCCTGCAATGGCCTGTGTGACAAGGTGTGCACATCCCTTGTCATCGACTCTGTGGACGCTGCTCAGTCCCTGAAGGACTGCACTGTCATCGAGGGCAATCTGGACATCAACATTCGCCGTGGAAGTGAGTGCATCTATGCAGAAGCACAGTACTTTTAACAGCACATGCACAGAAAATTTTGCAGTATAAATTAGCTCAGCAGATGACACTATTCCAAGATCATCAACATGCGTCAGCCACAACTAAGCAGATAAAACACACCAGTGGTTCTCTGCTTTGAAACTGGTTTGCACTATCCAGCAGAAGATTTAACTCGGCTACAATCTGCCGTACAGCATGCTATAATAAGTCTGTGCAGATGCAGTATAGTAACTTTACTACACTGTGTTGCATTCAGCTGCCCTGCAAATATTATGACTACTGAGGCAGATAAAGTACGAGGGCCTGGCGGTCTAAGCTGCTGGGATGCACAGGAGGGCCACAAAATCAACATTACATCTGCTCCCTGCACTCTAAAGCAATTATCACATTATACTATAATGCTGTTTATTTGCTCAGTTGACAGGGTGGCTCACAAGCTAATCTCCACATATGATAAAAGCTTATTGGGATATTTGCATTGAGAGCTAGTCCGGTCATCCTAGCAGTAGCAGTAGAGGTCCTTGTGGGTTTTTAAACGTGGCTTTCATGTGCTGTTTTTTTCATATGCTGTAATGTATTTCTGTGTGGTTGGCTGTGTGTGTGTGTGTGTGTGTGTGTGTGTGTATGTGTGTGCATGTTTGTGTGTGTTTATCTCCTGTCCCCAGATAACATAGCGTCTGAGCTGGAGAGCTTCATGGGATTGATCCAGACAGTGACGGGCTATGTGAAGATTCGACACTCCCACGCACTTGGCTCGCTGTCCTTCCTCAAGAGCCTGCGTTACATCAATGGGCAGGAACTCATCGACAAGTATGGCTTGTCTGCGCTGTTTGTCTGCAGCTTTTTTTTATTTTTTTTTTTATTTTGCTTGCCTTTGAATGCGTGCGGTGACTGAGGGAATGAGAGGATATGAGCAAACCTCAGCCTAGCAGGGAGGCTGCCACCAACATATCATTGCAGTTACATACTGTACATGTCAGAGTGACTTCTTGTTGAATGAGCGTCTGCCCTTGATGGTGGATGTTCACATTAACATTAATTGAAATATCTAAATATAATTTACTAGATTTTTCGACACTGTTTTCAGATATTGCAATATCATTTAAAAATGATTAATAAAGTCATGCTGACAAGCCAGATAAGTGAACGTGCCCACTAATCTGCATGGAAAGTCTCAGGTCCATCATCTTAGACATGAGGGAAAGTTTTTTGGTAATGACCAAAGGGGTCATGGGAAAGCCTGTTGCTCTTCTTGTTGTCGTTTCTCCCAGGGTAAAGTTTCACTCAGAGGAATGCTGTTGAGGATGGCAGACATTCCCCTCGCTCTGGAGGTGTTCTGCTGCGTTACTTGGCCAGCAAGAGCTCAGAGTGCTAGCAAGACAGTGTTTCTGTTTCATTTCCTCCTCTGTTGAAACCCAGTCTCATTGTCAGACAGGCGCATAAACCTTTGCTCATTGATATCAGTTTCTGTTAGTGCTTAATGCTGCCACCAGGTGGCAAAAAAAACTCCTTTTAACCACATTTCTGACAACTTCAGCTTGAAACATGAAACATGTTCACGTAACAATAAAGGAAAATATGTATGATGGTTGTAAACTACTCTTTATCTCCTTCCATTATCAGCATGTATTCGTTCTCCGCCATCAACAACCAGCACTTGCAGTACCTGTGGGACTGGAGTCAGCACAACCTGACTATTCGGGCTGGACGTCTCTTCTTTCGTCTGAACCCCAAACTCTGCATGTCTGAGATCCGCACGATGTGGGATAAGACGGGAATAACTGTGAAGCCAGAGCAGGGTGATTTCCGTAACAACGGTGAAAGAGCCAGCTGTGAGTATACTCATATGAATTGACTGACCAATATTTGTGTTGTGTTGGATCTTCCAAGAAAAAGAAAAAAAAAAAAAAAGCATTCTGTTTTTTTTTTATTCTCAAGCCAGTCGCTGTGCTGGGACATTAAAAGAGCTACCATGAAATGTATATACTGTATGTCTCATTGAGGATCCCCTTCTGTCAAAACAGGTGAAAGCCATACCTTGACATTTAAGTATAACGACACATTAAGCCATATGATCAACCTGACATGGGAGCGCTACAGGCCGCCAGACTACGGAGACCTTATCAGCTTCATAGTCTACTACAAGGAGTCGTGAGTATCTCTGAAGACAAACAACTCATTATCCTCTGTAACACTCTGTCATATGATAAAATTAACTCATCATTGAAAACATTTAGGACATGTCACTCTTGGCCACTTTGATTTCAGATGGTCTATAGAAGAATGTGTCCAGCCAAATATCTTCTTATTGTTTGAGATCAGATATTCTTATTGGGGTGAAAGCAAAATGTTTGGCCAATGAAAAACTATATGGTGTGCTTTGGAAAATGGTCAGCAGTAATGTAAAATACACACCATTTGTAAATACCAGGCTTTTTTGACTGTTGATAGATGAATCCTATCTTCAAACATGTCCTAAAATGTTTTTTACTTTCATACTAACAAAACGTTATGATATAAGTGGATGTAATTTTTTTTCTTTCTGCAAATGTTGGACTTGTCATTTTTTAAATCAAATCCGTTTTGTAAATATTGGCCATGTTTTGTGTCTTTACCAGCCCTTTCCAGAACATCACAGAGTTTGACGGCCAGGATGGCTGTGGCTCAAACAGCTGGCACATGGTGGATGTGGATTTTCCTCAGGATAAAACCGATGACCCAAAAGTCAGTCTGCAACACCTCAAGCCGTGGACCCAATATGCTATTTTTGTGAAGGCCATCACCCTGCAGGTGGAGGACAAACACATAAGTGGCGCAAAGAGTGATATTATCTACATTCGCACACGCCCGTCACGTAAGTCTGACCATCAGTCTGTTTACACCAGTGCTGTCGCTGTTTATGATTCCTAACCATGTTTTTTAGTTATTAGTGATTCAACAGTCTTAGTAGTTACTGTATGAACCAAGTGAACGCATTCGCAATATTTTAATATAATATAACATGACTTTGACATCATTGCAGTGCCGTCTGTGCCTAAAGACGCCCGCGCTTTTGCCAACTCCTCGACTAAGCTGGTGGTGAAGTGGTCACCTCCAGTCTTTCCCAACGGCAAGCTGACCTACTACCTGGTCCGCTGGCAGCAGCAGCCTGAGGACAGGGAGCTCTACCAACATAACTACTGCTCCAAAGGTCTGCATTACAGAAGGCGTCTCTTTTTATTGTCCAAGCGTTCCCACTGCCTCCTTGTCATCTAAAGGAACAGTTCAACATTTTGGGAAATATGCTTATTTACTTTTTTAATGAGAGTTAGTTGAGAAGATTAATACTGCTCTGGTGTCTGTATGTAAAATATGAAGCCATTGTCTGTTTTGCTGTTTTCTTGTGCTAACCTTAGCTAACGACTTGCTGGCTGTAGCTTCGTACTTACAGTCAGGCATTGATCTTACTCTTGACAAGAAAGCGAATGAAGGTATTAGCCAAAATGGTTAAATTACTCCTGTGATACAGAAACAAATAACTCTGTGCAGGAAATGCAGGCTCTGATTATGCAGAAAGCTGTCCATCACTAAACACTTTTGGTTTTCCTTGAAACAGAGCTGAAGATCCCAGTCCGGATCCCAGCGACGGGGCTCACAGACATGGAAGAGAACACCAAGCCCACCAAGTCAGACCTGGCAGGGGCAGAGAAGGGCCCGTGCTGCGCTTGCCAGAAGACGCCCGAGGAGAAGGATCGGGAGAAGGATGATCGCGTCTTTTTAAAGATTTTCGAGAACTTCCTTCACAATGCCATCTTCCTGCCGAGGTATAGTAAGCCGCAGATGGCGATGCAATATCAGCCTCACAGTGATCTCCCTAAACTGTTTACAGCTCCTGCTCTGTGCCTCAAAGGCCATCAAAGAGCTGAACTTGTTTGCCAAAATGAGGAATGAGGTGGCTCCTCTGTGAAGCTTGACAGGACCCGAGCATGGGGCCGTCGGTGGACCGGACGGGGGCTGAGCCGGCCCGCTGGGCTCGGCCCTTTTGTTGGGGCGGTGCAGATGAGGAGACATGCTGAGTAGGATCCAAAGCCTTCTTAGCGCTCTTGCGGCTTTCTGTTGCCGTGGCAACGATGGCACGGGGGATGTTAGGACCTAGCAGGCAGCAATTTAGGCAACACAAACAAACCCAGGAGAGAGATGTGATTAAGGAGTCTGAAGGGCCTAGTTTGGCTGCACACTCGTAGCTGTTTAGGCTTTTGTTCCCCGCAATAGGGACTGACATTTGTGTTGTGTTATCATTTAACTTGCTCGTGGCTCTGCATGTTTAACTGTTTCAAAGACTACAGCTCCTTTCCCCTCCCACACTCCTTTGTCCCTGTCACACACAATCTTTGTTTGTGAACTGCTGCCATAACGTATCACCATAAAAAAACGGATACCTTCGATACACTTTGCTTCTCGCTAAGAGACCCCAGCAGGTATCTTATAAATCCATATTTTTAAATGATGCCTGTATGCCTCCAAAGTTCATTCATTCAAACAACGTTACGGCGCCCCTCTTTCTTCTTTCACATTGCTCTCGTGGAATTGGATCAATATGTCTTTGGAGGGAGAATAATAAAACATAGCTTTCTATTGTAATTGAACTCATATCTGCCCCTCTCCTCCCCCTCCCCCTCCCCCTCCTCCTTGCTGTGTTGATTTGTTATAGTATAGCTGTCTAGGAAACAGGCGGGTGGCAGGTCCCAGGCCTGCAGCGAATGGCTCAGCCTGTGTATGCACAGACTCTCCACTGTAACAGAGCCAGCATTATTACAAACCACTCCAGGGAAAGGCCTCGAAAATCGGGGAGGTTTTTTCAAAAGTTCAGGGTTTAGACCAGGGGTGAGGGGAAAGAGAGCGAGTGAAAACAGAAACAGAAAGAAGAGGAAATGTTTTCCATTCTGTCCCTCTCCACTCGGCACTCCACTCTCCTCCTCCCCTCGCACGCTCTCTTTGTCTGAGACTCGTTTCCTTTTTCTTTTTTTTTCTTTTTTTTTCTTTTTTTTTTTTTTTCTGGAACAAGACAGCTGCCAGGAAATGTACAGTGAATCCATCTGGAATTTAAATGAATGAGGGAAGAGCCCCATCAGTGCGAGAATACAAACAGAAAGTACGGAATTTACTGGAGGAGAGGAGAGTGGCTGCTTAAAGGGGATGGCTGCCAGTATCTGTTAAGGAGACCTTGTGGTACGACCCAAAAACCTGTTATCAGCTGACTGGGAAATTTATTTGCTGTAATCCCCTGCTGTTGAAACTCATGATGAACACATACAGTTACCTCTTCTTCTGTCAGATCCAGAGATCTTTCAGTATATTCTGTTGTGGGCCTGCTGTGTGTCACTGCAGTTAAGGTCAGGCACTAATAATGTGCCCCACTGGCCTCAGACTGGATGTGTAGACACGGCTTTCCTTTCTGGATTCCATTGCGTAAAGGTAGATCTTTTTTTAGCGGGTGAGGTCAGGACACTAACTGTAGTAACTCACTAGTTATAAGGTCATGCTTCAGTCAGCTGAGGAGCGTTCTCACAGTGTTAGGACTGCCCTGCTTAACCCTAACGCTCTTATGGCATGTACAAAATTTAGATCCTCAAATTTTCTTTCATCTGGCCTCTCAGCGAGGTCTATCAGTGTCTCTCCCTCTGTCCTGTCGCTTCAATACAGGATAGTTCATGGTTTACGAGTCACTGAATTCGACTCATGCATCTGTGTCTCTACTTTCCCATCCGTTTTCATATGTTTTTGATATATTGTCAGAAGTAACTGTTTTTGAGTGCTGGACTTTGGATTGTACCGCACCAGTTATGACTGCCAGAGAGGAATGTTAACATGTCGGTGATACTCTTCTTTCCCACGGATCCGTCTGTGTCTGTACACTCCTCCTGTTGGTGTGTGTCTGCTCAGACACAAAAGATGCTTGACTTCAGCTTTGCTCAGTTAGGTCTTTTAGTTTAGCATTTTATAACTCCTGCTAGTGCTGAGAGGAGTAGTTGAGTGACAGAAAAGTAATCAGCGTCAGTGTAGGACTCTTTTTACAAGCAAAAATGACAAACATTCTCCTTTTTGAGCTTCTCAGTTGTGAGGATTTGCAACTTTTATTTGTCCTGTGTGATAGTAAATTGAATATCTTTGGGTTTTTGGACCAAAATTAACCCAAACAATTCAAATCAAGCAATTCAGGACTAAATCGGCAGATTAATCAATAATGAAAATAATAATTCGTTTCAGCCCTAATTTCCTGTATACAGTTTGAATCCTGGGCTTTATTTTCTTTTTCCTGAGCTGAGCGGTATGCGCTGTAATAAAAAACATCGTACTGTTCCTAACAATTCCTAAAGATTTATCACAGTTGCAAAAGCTCCACACCGCTCATCACCTGTTGTCAATGCAGCTTTCATTTTCCAACTCAGTCAGAGCCACGACTCTTGTCTTTGTCCGTCCGTCGCAGCTGACTTACCCAACAGCTTTCACGGGTAACTGTTAAAGGTGTATCTGGGCAAGGTGCCTCTGCTGCTGCTAGAGTCACAGCTGTCACCGAATGCTTGTCCTCAGTAATGATGACGTCCAGCTTCAGGCGGCTCCGCAGCTTATCATCCGCATTATGACAACATGTGTCCGTTCGCCACAGCGTCGTCCGTTTGGCCGCTGAAGCTTGGTCATTATGATTGAACATGTTGGTGTCAGGAAACTAAAAGCCATATTTCCCCTCACTCTCTTGCTCGCTCTCTTTGTCTCCATATTTCTCGTTTTTATACTCTTTCATTGTTGATTGGGATAAACTGGACAGCAGCAATGTTTCAGGTTTTTTTTTTCTCCTTGCTGTAGAAAAATCTCTCCGTGTCAGACTTTTTTTTTTTTTTTCTTTCTCTGTCTGTCCACCTCGCTATGATCTGTCTGACCTCATCCTTCTACACAGCTCCACAGGGAGCAGTTTTCAGCATCTGGATGCATGGTGCACACACACACACACACACACACACACACACACACACACACACACACACAACACACACAACACACACAACACACACACTCACTTACTCCATCCGGTCCAGCAAGATGCCTAAGCTTTGTGGAAAATGCTTTTGGGATTTATAAAGCTACAGTTATTTGTTACAATAGGATTTCCAATATAGCTTTTTGTCTTGTATTGTCATAATAGCACTGACTGTACTTAAATCAACTTTCCCTCCGTATTGCAGACCTCCAGACCGTCGACGCAGAGATGTTTTTGGTGTGGCTAACAACACACTGTTTCATGAGGGTGCTGGTAGGGGGAACACCACCCTTGGCCCCGGGGATAACAGTACAGATGGCATTCCTCCTATTAAAGAGTACCCCTTCTCAGAAGACAAGAGCACAGCAGAAAATTTAGAGATCCCCAACCTGCGTCCCTTCACAGTCTACCGCATTGACATCCATGCCTGCAATGAGGAGGTGGGGCAGTGCAGCGCTGGAGCATTTGTCTTCTCCAGGACCAAACCTGCAGGTGAGAAACTGGCGTGGATACAATCTGTGATTGAGAAGTGGCACAGTGTGTTCTAACACCTTTTCTTGCATGTGTGTTTCCCAGTCAAAGCAGATGACATCCCCGGAAAGGTGATCTATGAGAGGAGTGAAAAGGTTGAGGGTTGTGTGGTGCTGCACTGGCCAGAGCCCATCATGCCCAATGGACTCATCCTGATGTATGAGATCAAGTTCCGTCTGGGAACTGAGGTGAGCCAGGCTGGGTATAATTAAAGATCCCCCCCAGACATATTTTAAGAAGTATAAAGAATATAGTTACTTACTATATATATATATATATATATATAGTGAACATACTATTTGGAATAATCAATTTGTGTTTAATATGTTTTTTCTACAAAATTTCTGCAAAATTACATGTTTTTTCTCCCTTATTGAAAAATGATGATGTTTAACTGTGAAAAAACAGATATGTCCTACTTTACTGAAAGTTCATTATCAATGAATGTTCACTGGAGGATTCAAATCTCCACATCACTTAGGTATAAGTTTCATATACAAAATACATATTCCATACTCCAAACTAGTTGTGATGTCACAAAATCCAGTTCATATGAACACGTCTTAAACTCAGATTTAATGTGAGCGCAGAGAAACATGTCATGTCGTGTGGTGTTAAACATACATCACAATGAACAACAAACATTCAAGTGAAGAAACAATAAGCAGAACACTTTAAAAGTCATAAATGTCAGTTCCCAGGACAGAAATATCTGTCACAAGTGACCAGTAACTTGTGAAACTCCCCTTTTACTCCCCTCACTTGACCTTGACCTTCAAACAGTAACCACAACATGTTTATTTTCTTTCAGCCTGAGAAACACGAGTGTGTGTCGCGCCAGCAGTACCGCGAGCACAAAGGAGCTCGGCTGACCAACCTGGGCTCCGGAAACTACTCTGCCCGTGTGCGCGCCACTTCTCTAGCAGGGAACGGCTCCTGGACGGAGAGCGTGTCCTTCTACGTGCCTCCACCCAAACGTAAGGCAACGCTTCCTTGACTGATTTTAAAGCTAGATAAGACATGACACCTTCAGTCATTGCTAATCACTTTTAATTTCTCTGTTCTGTCTGACAGGAGACGATGGTGTTGCGTTTTATTTGGTCATCATAATTCCCATCATAGTGACAGTTTTCATCGCCAGCCTCACCACGATTCTCTTCTTTGTCAACAAAAAGAGGCAAGTGTCTTCACATGCTTTCCACATTGCCAGATAATGCTGCTCAATTATGCCGTTCTACCTCACTCTGCTCATGAAACTTAACAACCGGAGCAATGTTAATTATAGTTAATAGTTGTTGTTTTCATTAACATTCCCCTGTGGTAAAGAGTAGACTTCCTATGGAGTATTACATATCATTTTTACAATCGGAGCCGCCTGCTGGCTAACTGAGCTGTGTTTGTGTTAACAGGAATAGCGACAGATTGGGAAATGGAGTTCTTTATGCATCTGTCAACCCAGAGTACTTCAGTGCTGCTGAGAGTAAGAATATCGAATATCTTCTCAAATTTTCACTGTTATATTTCGGTATGGGTATGTGGTGTTGACCCGCTGTCTGCTGTTGTCGTGCCAGTGTACGTCCCGGATGAGTGGGAGGTGGCCAGGGAGAAGATCACTATGCACAGAGAACTGGGCCAGGGCTCCTTCGGCATGGTGTACGAAGGCATCGCCAAGGGGGTGGTCAAGGACGAACCTGAGACGCGAGTGGCTATCAAGACGGTCAATGAGTCCGCCAGCATGAGGGAGCGCATTGAGTTTTTGAACGAGGCCTCTGTCATGAAGGAGTTCAACTGTCACCATGTGGTACGAGGGACACGTCCTAAAATGGTCACCATCAGGCACCTGAGAGAGAAAAAGCCTGATTTAAATGCACAATATGGCTAAAAATAAACCAGCACCTTGATATATTGAACCCAGTTCCAAGACAGTGCTTTTGATTATTATGATTTCCTAATTAATCTGCGCAGAAGTAGAAAGAGGTCAGCATGTCACGAGCGCTGTGAGTACGCTGCAGTTGTCTTTACAGCCTGAGGCAGGGTGCAGCCTCCTGGAGATTGTGTACATTTCTCTCATCAGCATGATCACAGCCTCATTAACTACGTTAAACGCATGTGTTCAAGATTTTCCCTTTGGAAAGCTGCTGTTACAACCTTTTTATCAAGTCTGGCTGCCAAAAAACCAAACACTCAATTATTAAATTCAATTTGAATAATTTAAAAGGGAATGGATTTTTTTTTTTTTTTTTTTTTTACAATCTTCAAAGCAAGTTAAAGAGAAACTTTGATTTTTCTAATACAGATCTGAGATTTTTCGCTTCTGCGGGAATGTAGAGTAGACTACCTACTCTACCTTATATGCCACTCATTTTATACAGTAGGATATATACTACATGTATATACTATATACTAATCTTTGTAGTAATCTGCTGTAAGGAAACTTGCTCTAAAAACCTGTTTTGAATTAGGTTGTAGTATAGATTTGGGATGCAACTTTTGACTTGTCCCACCTGACCTGTGCTGCATTGTCATTGGTGCAGGTGCGGCTGCTGGGCGTGGTCTCGCAGGGACAGCCAACCTTGGTGATTATGGAGCTGATGACACGTGGTGATCTCAAGAGCCACCTGCGCTCTCTGCGCAAAGAAGTAAGAAGATTTTCCCACACTCTCACACACAGACACACACACCTGTCCCTCTATGTTATGTCTTTCTTCTACGTTTCCACACACAGCATCTATCCCTCAGTTCATAGTGCTGATCTGCTGTGAGCAGAGAAACCTGACATGAAGACAGACTGAACAGTGCTCTATTGTGCTCTTTACCCTCTCACCTCATCTCCTCTCGCTCTGCCGCAGAATGCCACCAGCCAGGTCCTACCCCCGCTCAAAAAGATGATCCAGATGGCAGGGGAAATTGCTGACGGCATGGCGTACCTAAATGCCAACAAATTTGTCCACAGAGATCTGGCTGCCAGGAACTGCATGGTAGCAGAGGACTTCACTGTGAAGATTGGAGGTAAGTCAATTTAATACGATGCCTTCAGCCTTCCTTGGTTGCTCAATGCTGAACCCACTCTGCTGGCCTCAAAAAATAAGTGTTATGATTTCAGTGAGTGCCTGAAGCAGTGGAGTCTTAATGTAGATGGACAGAGGGAAGGAGGGAGGGAGGGAGGAGGTGAGGGGAATGGATGAGCTCTCTGGAGCTTCCTCTCCCACACAGAATGAGTGATATTCAGTGGCTTCCCCAACCTCTGTTTTCATTTTTTTTCTTCAGATTTTGGCATGACCAGAGATATTTATGAGACGGATTACTACCGAAAGGGAGGGAAGGGCTTGCTGCCTGTCCGCTGGATGTCTCCAGAGTCGCTGAAAGATGGCGTGTTCACTACAATGTCTGATGTCTGGTATGAGAACACATCACTCTCTTATACGCACGCATGCATGCACACGCACATGCACACGCACACGCACACACACACACACACACACACACACAGACAAATAAAAAGCCTGTATTATACATGTATAAACCCTGCCTTAATCCTGGGGGCTTGCAAAATATTCCAGAAATGTCTGCATATTGTGTGTCTCTGAGCATGTGGAGATTTTAAAACAGTTCACGCTGTGGAGTCAAAACTTTAAAAGCAGACAGATCACTTCACAGCCATTTTTTACTTAATAGTTTGAACATGCATTTCCTGTCATGACAAAACCATCAAAATCTTTTGGTTTCCAGCTGGTTCTCTGGACATTCCTCTCTCCATGACAGAACAGTATAGAACAAGATCCTTCTGTTTTTTGTTTTTTTTTTTGTTGTTTTTTTTCCTGACACCTTTTGTATTCCAGCCTTTGGTGAAATCTCAGGAATGATATTGTTCTAGAGACATACAACTGTTTACCAGCTCCCTTGCAAGTTTTTGTTTCCCAATTCCGTGTCCCACGGGCCAGTCCCTAAGAGTGGGCTTAAACTGCTCCAGATGTTCTCAAATGAGAGGTTGCAGTGCCAGCACAAACCCACCTCCACATTCGCTTACTATTATCTTTCTCTTTGATGTCGTACAGATGAAGTTTAGTGTAAGATGAACCCAATTCCGGGCTCCCTAGGACTCCATGAGTAGGTGACTTTTATTTTGTTGATCAAGAAAAGCTGTCCGACTGTGGCTTCGTCTGTCAGCGCAAGACAGTTTCAGCAAGTTATATGCAGTGTTGTAACAAGGCTGTTTTAAAGACTATTGACTGCGCTCTCAGAACTCGTGCCAGTGGTGAAAATATGATTAGCAAGAGCAAGCAAATATTGTGGTCTTTGTTAGCCAAGTTAAGAATTTTTTTGTCATGAATACTTTCATAGTTGTCTCAGTGCAAGGTAGCTTGAGGTCAGACTGAGGTAATGTTTACTGTAAATACTTTAAGCTTGTCCTGAATTACTGAAATCATTGTGATCCACTAAGCGGTACGCTGATACATAGCTTACATTCTTTCTTACATTTGCCTTCTTAATCATTAGGCTGACAGGTTTTAGGTTTAACATGATGTAGAGAAGTATCTGCTCAGTGGTGGTTTTCTTATATTGCCTGCCAACATTTCCAACTCAGTAAAGGTTGATAGGTTACACTTGCTCTAGGGCTGAACAATATGCAAAAAAAAATCATTGCAATTAATTAAACAGCTTACTTTTACACTTGATGATGGAGGAATTTAAAGGTGCAGCATTTAAATCAACATTAGTCAGTTTTTTTGGCACTTTGGGACAGAAATCCACAGCAATCTGAACATTACACATTACCTTTTAATATAATGACATTTTTAGTACACAATTTGAGAACACTATTTACATAAATTATATCTTAAAGCTGCAGTGATAGTTTTTTAAGCCACTCAGAGACAGAAAAACAATCTGTAAACACAACATTGAAATAATATCACCTCACCTTCAGACCTGTAGAGAACTGCAGAGTCAGGTAGATAGTTCTCTCTGGGCATTACCTCTCACAATACACAGTAATTTAACACAATGTTGATCTAAAAATGTTGTTTAGTGCAGCTAGATATTCTGCTTGTTTGTTCGCTGTTTCTTTGCCCATTAACTACAAATTAGGTACAAATTCAGTCTGCACTCAAAAGTTGCGTTACCACACAACAATGTTAACTTCAAAAATAGAATTTACAACAATAAAAGAAAGGATATAACCTAACTCAAGCAAGTAAGTGGGTTTTTAGTGAAGCAAAAAGAACCCACTGGCTGCTTGAGAGATGGTTGAAAGATGGTTGGCAGTAATGGAAGGTATAGTGTAAATGATTTTTAATAAGAGGGAAAGTGAAGAAACCGCAGAATACTGCACACTGTCAGTCACCTTATTAACATTTTGGTCCTCAGACTGTCATCAGGTAAAATGTATTGATTTAATTATAAAGAATTTTATCTAATGAAGGGTCAGGGCCAAGTTATCAATAATAAAGTCAATAAATGTGATCGACCGTCTGCGTGAGTCTACAGTCGAGAGTTTGATCCTACAGATGCAGTAAGTTTGTTCTAGGAGAGGAAAAGTCAGACACACTAATTTCCTCCTTTTTAAAAGAAAAGATTTATTTTGAAGGAATGAAAAAAAAAAAAGCTAATCTACTTGGGTTTTTTTACCCACACCCCGCTTTTAGAAAACCTTTTCTGATGTTGCACTCAATGTAAGCAGCACTGAATTAGCATCAGATAAGAGGCAAAAAATGTAAATATATTTCATAAAATTGTCATCTCATCTCCCGTCGCAGGTCATTTGGTGTCGTGCTGTGGGAGATCGCCACCTTAGCAGAACAGCCTTACCAGGGCATGTCCAACGAGCAAGTGCTGCGCTTCGTCATGGAGGGAGGACTCTTGGACAAACCTGACAACTGTCCTGACATGCTGTGAGTCTCTTTGTATCTTTGACCAATAACTGTGCAATACCACCCATTTCAGGCCTTCCAGGTTTAGGTTGCAACACCCCCGAAGGATGTATTGTTTTATCCTCTACTGCCCCCACCTTGCACGCCTTCGCCCCCATTAATATTTTGCCCTGCGTTTATTTTAAGTTGTGGTTCTAAGTGTGTGGGATATCATGTGGTGTGTGTGCTAAGGTAGAGCCAAGATGAGGCCTGACATTAACGTCACAGGTTAAATGCGGCCCGTTGACAACATGGCCTCAGTGGTCAGCTGGCAGTGAGAAGCCTCCTCACCCGTCGGCCTCGGCCCATAGAAGGGATGCCATGACCCGTGTGTGAAAGATGCCCTTCATTCCTGCTGCCGAGAACGGGCATGAGTAGGGAGATGGTGTCTGTCCATCAGCAAAGGGAGTGAGAGGGACAGAATGTATTCATTAATGTATTTATAATAAATTAATGAATCACCCTGGCTGTTAGAGAAGAGAAAGCCCAGCATGGCCTGCTTGTCAGCATGCAGCGCTGCATATATGCATTTCTCCTCTCCTCTCTCTGACCTCAATAAGAAGGCATTCTGCTCCCTCCCCTCCCACTCTCCATGGCTGACCTCACCTTAGAAAGAGAGTGCAAGCAGAAAAAAAAAAAGAAAAGAAAGAGGGCCGAGTGTTGTGCAGACACAAACCTCTGGTTTCTATGGCAGCCTGACTGTTTTGTCCTGATTACAGGAGTGTGTGGATTGTGTTACAGAGGTGGTGGGGTAGCCTTGGGTATCTGAGCTACACACAGGGAAGTCAGGCTTCTGCCACTGGTAGCCTCTGCTGTAGTGACTTAATGGAGATTTCCAGAAGATTGCTGAAGTGTAGTGAAGCCAGAACTCCATACAAAGACTGAATAGAAGGATACAAGAGGAGGAAGTGGGCAGAATAATAGACAGAGGGATGAGTCACATTTGGAGAGCTTTGAACATCTCCTCCTTGTACTGCGTTTCCCATGGTCAGGTAGCTGTGGGTCAGTGATTGGATTTCCCATGTTTCTGTCTACAGTTTCCCTCAGACAAAAGTGCATTCTCTCTCTCGCAGGGTTGGGCGAAAATGAAACACAGACTCTGTGATCGTATTTAATGTGATGATTTATTGCGGAATGTTCAGTATCAATTACAATGCTATTATACATAAATGATTCACCACACCGGGGATGCTGGACGTGTGAAGCTCTGTAGTTCTGTTGCAAAACATTCCTGTTTAGCTTTATTAACATCCACCGTAGATGATCGGAGACTGCTCTGAACTCACACTAGGCCTTACAGTGTGTCTGTTTTTGATTTTTATCTGAGTGTTTCAAGGACTTTTTGTCCATCTCTTTGGCTGGTGAAATTTTGGCTGTGTCTGTGCAAATTGTTTTATAAAAGCCTGACTGCCTCCAAACCTCATCTTAAAAGTACCATTTTGACACAGTCACTATTAGATATTCGCTTATAAAGCTCAGAGTTTATTGACGTGACAGAGAAGTATGTCGACACTTACAAGGGGGTTTGATTCCAGTTCACATTATCTCTCACTATACAGACAGTCTAGGGGACGCAATTACAGGAGGATACAGCTACAGATGTATAGAGTTACAAAGATATCAAGCTAAACAGATAAAAAACATAGTGAAGAGCTGAGGCAGCCATCCGTTGCGCCATCTTGGTCTTCAAGTTAAAGACCATTTAGTACATTAAAACAGAATTTAGATACTAATTGTACCAAAAAGTGTAACAGAGTTGGGGGTTGGGGTTTGACCTTGAGGAACCCGTCTTTATACCAGCAAAAGATCATAGCGAGTTGTTCTTAAACAGTACCTACATATACATCCCATGTACCGCTTTGAGCTGTTACATGTTGCTAACGTCACTGATGACAGGTCAAATATGAGTCAATTTAGCTTAATGGCAATAGCATGTGTCTGTGTGTGCCATGATTGGCAGGATGCTGACAAGAAGTCAGGATTTACTGCAGTGTTTGTTTTCTAAATTTGCATCAACAAGCCTCGTGCACAGCAACAGATGGCGGGGGAAGTGTTTTCAGCAGGCAGGACTATGCAGACAGGTTACTCTGGAGCGTCGGCCCGGCTCCAAGCATTACACGTCTTTTCATGGGAGGTCTTCGCTGCCTGGGTTTGGACATCTGAACGTCAAATTTAAGACACTTGCTGCGCTGCTGAAAAACAAGTCAGAGCCCCCCCACCCCCACCCCCTGCTGCGACAGAGTACGAAGCGAGGCACGTGCTTAGGAAAGCTCTACCCATAATTCCTCTGTGCGGAGAGGAGCTGGCACCCAGCTGCAGAGGCTGTTGTAGACTCCAAAGAGACCACTGGGAGAGAAAGAAAACAAGGGAGAGGGAACAGCAAAAGTGGAGGAGAGATGACCGAGGTGTTTATGTCAGCAGGCCTTAGAGAGTATTCTTAGCTTGTTTGTGTATAATTGAAGTTGTGGTGTGTGGCGTAGCACCACACAAAACTGTAATAATTCTCCCTTTTATGATGTTGTTTTGACATTCCAAAAGCTGGGCTGCTGGCCTGGCACAGTAACCTTACATATGATTAACTGTGCTGCTGAGTACATGCTACATTACTGACCTTACTGTATGTGTAGTCATGTAGCAATAAATATATTATATCCCCATTTCAGATGTCTCAATTTAACTGTTAGAAAGAAGAAAAGTTTTTGAATGTATGTAACTAAAAGTATTATAGTTAGTTTAGACTACATCTGCATGTCTTTGTGCTTTTTCTACTATTTCAGTGAACTGCAGTTATTGAATCATTTCATTGGACAGTATTATGAAACATGGTTAAAAACTCGGCATGAAATTAAACAGCAAATCGCAAAATTGGCTAAAAATTACATTCACACCCACTAACTTAGGTATATTAAACATAATGCGAGTGTTTGAGCCTGTTTACCTGGATGTAGCATTTTGTTTACTGTTGTGAAAGGCACAGAGTGAATGTACAAAAAGAAAACAGGGAAAAGGATTAAAGCATTTGTTTAAAAATTTGCTGTAGTATTGTAATGTACTGTCTACATAATTTGTTCTTAAAGATCAGTCTAGTAAACTTGAGTTGTAGAGATGAGCTTAAACATCAGTGTTTTCTGCCACCTGCTGGTGAGAAACATGTAGTCCTCCCACTCAAGGTTAGGGTCACATTTTCGACAATACTCCGAACCATGCACAAATGTGCAGGGTTCCTAGCACAATTACACTGTAAGAGATGGGGGACAAAATCCACAGTTCTCATTATGTTCAGCAAATGTTCAGCAGTCTACGTTAAATTAAGTTGGTATCTTCTAAAGGTGTGATCTTAAGTCATAGTATGAAATATATGTGAGTATTATATTAGACTTGAATAAACCTATGCTTTCGTAACAAAAAATTTAAAAATGAAGACTCCACTGTACATTACTAACCCTTTTATCTACTGTACGTCACTTTTAGGTTTGAGCTGATGAGGATGTGCTGGCAATATAACCCCAAGATGCGTCCGTCCTTCCTGGAGATCATCAGCAGCATCAAAGATGAACTGGATCCTCCCTTCAGGGAAATGAGCTTCTTCTACAGTGAGGAGAACAAGCCGCCGGACACCGAGGAGTTGGACATGGAGGTAGAAAACATGGAGAACATTCCACTGGACCCTGCATCCACCAGGCAGCCCTCAGCTGCTGCCGCCCCCTCTTCGGGGTGTACAGGAGGCACGCCGCCTCCTTCTACCCAGCAGTTATCCCCCATGCAAGGCCCGAGTACTCCATTACTGGGACCTATGTCTCCCTCATCCCCGGGCACGGTCGCCTCAGCCTTGGCGTCTCCAGGCCAAGCCTTGGACAAGCACTCAGGACATGTTTCGGCCAACGGGCCTGTGGTGGTGCTGCGGCCCAACTTTGACGAGATACAACCCTATGCACACATGAATGGGGGCAGAAAGAACGAACGGGCGTTACCACTGCCCCAGTCGTCGGCCTGCTGATATCAGACCAGCCCCTCCTCCTCCTCTTACACAGGGTAACACAAACCTCTCCTCCATCTCTTAAGGGGGGATGGATGAGGTAAGGAATGACTTTCTTCTACTGTGTGCCAGTAGATGGTCTCTCCACTCCTTTAAGGTCAAACTTAAACTCTAAAAACTTAAACAGAAACCTCCTAAAGCGTTTGGAGTTTGGTGGCTCAGACTCGACACTGGGGAACTCCTTCCTGTGCAGCCTGTATTTCAGTCATTGTTACCTAAGTCCTTCAAACAATACAGGCATGTATCCTGACTTACAGATTTAGACATAAAGAAAATCATTTTTTAGCATATCTGCCAGCAAATCCAACAGAGGAGCACTTTTTTCCCTGATGATTTCAGAGAGGATGTTGTGGATATCCGAGTGTGTATTTATACAAACAAATGATTCTCTCTCTATAATATGGTATAACTCCATTTCTAAAATGACTTTCCATCAAAATGACTTTGTTTCCATGAGCAGATTGGCTCATGACACGTGAGGATGCCTCAATTAGAAAGTTTGGACTAAAATAATTGTTTCATTTTCCTGTTGATATTTCTGTGGGTGTAGATCCTGTCAGGAGTGGGTCGAAATGGAAGAGGAGGGCCTATTGTGTATCTACCAAAATGTTGCCAAATCGAGCTTTTTCTGCAATTTCATACAGGTCTCCCTTCTTGTTTAAGGCTGTGATTCAGAGTTGAGATAGGTTTCTCTGGGAAACAATACCAAAATTGTTTGGTGGTGTTCAGACTTCATGCTTATCTTTAGCAGTAACTGCTCCAGCAGCAGCTGTGTGGGTGTGGGGCGGGGGGGTTGATAACAGGACAGAATACAGTGTTACTGTTGAGATGTGCTGCATTCACACCTGCAGTCAAAGTTTTCTCAGAATATGCAGCGTCTGCACCGGGGGTGGAATAAATGTAACAGGCTTGTGAGGAGAAACACAACACTAAAATAAGTGAATTGCAGAGACACAAGTATAAAATCAAGACTGAGTTTATTTCATTCACGATTTGAAATGTAAGCAAAGGCATCTTTAATAAAATTTTGTTGATGTTCTTTTACTCAATGGACACAATATCAGTATGAAATCTTAAATAATTGATAATAATAAGTAACCACTAGCATTACCATGATGGCAACAAGATTTTTTTAGAGGGATAAATTACTTTTTGAAACATTTCAAAATCTCATTGGTTCCAGCTCCTCAAACGTGAGGATCTGCTGCTTTTTTTTTTGTCCAGTGTCATAGTAAACTGGTCATGTTTGGGTGTGTGACAGTCGGTCAGTTGGTCATCACCTTGGACAGTCTTCACTACAAATCCAAAATAATTGGAAGATTAACTGATAATGAAAATAATCATTCTTTGCAGCCCCCTATTTTTCATATAATTACATTAGAAAAACCTGCATGCTGTTGCTGATGATGGGCTTACCAACATTTTCTGTTGCACCACCCGAATCCCTTCAGATCTAAGAATAACTTTATCCCTTCATTTCTGTCATCTTTTGAACATCTGAGGGAAGTACACACATGTGACTTGAGTCAGCCAACTCTGAATCACAGCCTCGGTCTGTCTTTGTTTTAATTAAAAAAAAAAAAAGAAAAGGAAAAAAAAAAATAGAAAGAAAACATCAAAGCATCAGAAGTCCCACACTGCAAAACACTGAACTTCACAATCAAGGGATACGACTCTGCCTCCACTTTCATTTACTCAAACCTTATCTGACATTTTTTTAAAGTGTGCATTTCATGTGGGAGGTGATAACTGCTATTCAATTTAAATGGCACCAAAAACATCACAACAAACAAACTGAGTCTGAGACCTGAGACAGAAAATGAGAAGGTGTTGGATCGGTAAAGATTTTAGTAGCCTAGAGACAACTTTTAAGTCACAACAGGTCTCTTTTAGAATAGTCATTAGTTTCTCTACATTTCGAACACATATAAAGGTCTTACAGTTGTATTTTAGACTGCAGGATCGTTTTTATACACATCATTGATTTTGTCACTTTTTTAAACCTTTTTACGGTTCAAAATGTTTGCCTCTATGTCTGTACAGAACAAAGCTGCTATTTTATTCTTTTTCTCTTTTGGATGTTATATATAAAGGAATCCTTCAGGTTTGGTATTTTATGGTCTCCACTACAGTCCATTTCTTATATCTTCAAACTCTGTTTAAAAAAATAAAATGAAAATAAAACTACAAAAAATAAGATGATTTAGATATAAAAACATTTTTTTTTTCTGTTACCCCAAAAGGTTTTTCTGTAACACTACATTTTGTTAATTGCCTTTTATTGTTATGAAATGTTTCTTCTGTATTTGTTTTGTGGATGTCTATATTATTATTATTATTATTATTATTATTATTATCATTATCATTATTATTAATATTATCATTAATTTTATTATTTGGAATGGACACCTTAGCTCGATGTGTGAGCGTGTACTTTCTGCACCCTTTTTGTACTTGTTGTCTCGCACTGCGCCTAGCATTGCCCTCTAGGTGCGACTCAATCTCAGGTCAAAGTAAAGGCTTTGCTTTCTCCACACATTCTCATGATCGTCCTCTACTTGTCTAACCTTGTAAACCCCTCACCCCACCCCACCCTCTATGCGCCATCATCATGTTTTGTTGAGTCCAATAGTGCCCGCTTTCCTTCCCTCTGGCCCCTCACTGACCTCTACAACAAACTGTACCCGTTTTCCCCCTGGTGCCTCCTTTTTAAAGTCAGGATTAGTTCCAGTATACAAGATATTTGCTTTATACTAGATCTGGTATTTTAACCCATCCATTTCCTGCCTCTTCTCAGATTAATAGGGCTAATTGGGTTGTGTCTTGTTTGCCTTAATTATGCCAACCATCTTTCAGTCATTCAAAATCTGCCCATCCCCCCTCCTCCCTTTTTTATTTTATTTTTTTTAATTACTTCAACAAGCGCAATACAATGTCACTTCTGTTAATGTTACTTCTTCAAAGTGAGAACAGGTCTTATTGTTTGTCTTCATAATCACAGCTTCTGAAAACCAAATAAAGGATGGGTTAAAGTCCAGGGAAGGGAACACATTTCAATGTAATGAATGGAAAAGGTCTTAAAATGGAGGCTGAATAGTGAAAGTGTTTTGAAGGATTTCTTCTCATCTTTTAGAAATATTGCCTGGTGATTTTCTTTCCCTCTTTGGAGTTTTTTTTTTTCTGTAGGAGTGTTATTTATTTATTTTTTTTATTTTCCTTTTGTGATATCAGTTTAAATCACTGTATAAATGCCCCATGATTCAGTATAAAGTTGGATTTTTTTGTATGTATTTTCTTTGGTGTCATGACTGGGGGACTTAAAAAAAACAACTTTTTTTTCCTTCAAGTATATATCTACCTCACTCTTTTTAAATATATGTATGCGTATGGAAAACAAGTACATCTCACTCTTTCTCATTAGTTTATATAGAAACCTCATCACCTGGATAAAACCCACAGGGATCTAGACAAACCTCATAAAGCGAACTAGGACAGGAGATGGAATTTAGGTGCTGTAGGTTCAGTCCACCAATTTTTGGCCCAGTGGTTTACGTAAAGTACATTTATTCCTCTGAGCATAAAAAAGAAAGGACTGTGTGCTGTGGCCTCCAATAAATTAAATTGTTGTTGCATTATCTATTGAAATATTACTCAATTAAGTCAGCCTACACACTAATTCAACTAGGGAGTTTACAGTGTTATAAGGCTTAGAGCAGGTGCAGTACAGCATGTGATAAGACACGAGGCCGGGGCATCAACATCAGACATTCCATCTCCTCTGACTCCAAACCTATTGTCACAACCTTAAATCCTCAACAGACAGAAACCTTTTATCATCTAAAATTAATTTATATAGAAGTCTAAACAGTTACCATGAGGAATATTTAAAAAGGGAAAAGTTTTATTGACCTCCAATTAAAAATAAATAAATAAATAAATGTATCTGCTGTTCCCCTGCAGCCTGTAATAATGCAGGTTACAGCACAACTCCACATTTTCATCAACTTTAGTTTATTCCAAACATCCAGATCACACTCTCGAAAAAAACATACATTGAGTAATAAATATGGATCTGTACTGTGAATGTAACAAAGATATTTCTGTACTTTCTACACAAAACCTTTATAGAGATAGCAGCAACTCCACCTCCTACATGTTTCTACCTTCAGGCTTAAATGAACAACATCAACAGTTTGTCTGTCAATGTTTAGTCAAAGCAGCAGACAAAACTTTGTTCTTGTCAATAAGATTATTACATTTGATTGTTTTTTTTTTGTTTTTTTTTTACCCCTCTTTATGGCTATGTAAACGCCATTATCTCCCCTGTCCAAGTCTACCTGCTGAATGCTATGACTTTCTAGCTCTAGTGCTCATTTCCACTATCATCAGGGTGAATCTCTTAGTGATTTTAAACTCTACACACCTTTTTCTGGCCTGTTGTACTGCTACTCACAGTTATGCTGCTGGTTCAAAATACTGTCGCCTCAGTGGATCTTATACTGTCATCAAGTGTTGAGTGTAAAGGTGGCAACGGAGCTTTTACATCTCAAAGCTTCACGTAAAAACCTCAGTTCTACTTTTTACTCACAGTGGCTACGTGTCGAACGTTGTCTCAGTGCAAGGGCTTCTGAGCCAGAGGTGTAAAATAATTAGAACATCTGTGCTGAGATGAATACCCAAAAGCAATAAAAAATGGTATTATGAACAGGCCACTGGGTAATTTCTAATGTGAAATCTGGGTGCTCAATCTAGGTTCTTCTTACGCATTTTATCTGTGCAAGATTGAAGAGAATAACAATCAAAGAGTGAACAATCTTTTGGTTGAAAAACAGTGCGACTGCTGCTGAATTATTACATTGGTACAGAAATCACCACTGACAAGCAAACATCTTGTGTAGTTACTTAACATATCTGTGCATTTATGTTTTTTTTTTCCAGTTTGGATGTATGTAATGGTAAAATATTTCTTATATATTTCAGCTTTTCAATACTGGTAGTAGACATTACATTGACCTGTTGTGAGGTGAATTGCTGTTGAATTACTGGTTACCATTAGATCACAAACCTGTCGCAAACTACAGCATTTAAACAAGCACGTGGACATACAGTATATAGGACAGGGATGTTGCATAGATTACGGGTAGACATGGTGAAGAGTAAACAACATGATTAGAAAAAAATAAAAAATGATAGGCCTAAGTTTACAGCTTCACACTAGTTGCTATTTTTTTTGCATTACCAGATTTCCAGCGTAAATACACAGTCACTAACTAGAACACATTCAACGTAGTCATTTATAATTTTAATTCTTCAGAATGTTCTTCATGCAAACCTCAGGTTTATGGAGGAATGCGTCAGTACATTCAAACTGCAATAATAAGTTTGAGGTTTATCATGATCATGCCTCTGTTTTTATGATTTGCATTCCTATATCTTCTGAGGGGGCCTTGGTCTACTACTATTATCTTATTATAATACTTTCACAAGATCTGTGTGTTCATTACCTGATTGGGGAAAGAAATAATCAAAAACCTTCACTAGACTCTGTCTTCTTTCAAACTCTGTATCTGAGGCCTCAAAGTTTTTTCACACCTATAGCTGAGATGGTGTATTTTTTGACATGCCATCTTCCAAATGTGTATCTGAGAATTTCTTGTATTTTCTTTTTCTTCTGAAATTTTGAATAAATAAATGAATGAGAACTCTGACTGCTTGTTCTACTTATATCATAATATAGAGGTAGATTTGTTTCAATATTATTTGTGGTAACAGATGAAAAAACAAACTAACAGATCAAACAAATTGACTTGTATCACTCGGCCACTTTCGGGAAAACATGTGATGATCTGCCGATAACGCCATTTCCGCTTTTCAAAGTAAGAGCACGTAGTCTTCCATGTGTTGTTTTTTCCCCCCAAATAATCAGCGACAAGTAACATACACTATGTTAAAGGTTGTAAGATATCAACTGAGATGACCTGGTTAAGGACTTTGATAGTATAGCTGTTGGTGTTGATACTTGTTTTGTTAAGAAATTACGTATTGCAATTTTATTGTTCACTGTTAATATGTAGGCTAAGCTAACGTTAACTATTAAACCGGCACCTGTTGCTATTGCGACAGTAAATATTCATGTTGAAAGCAAGGTGCTGGACTGTGATGATGATGATGAAGATACACTGTAAAAAGAGCACAGTTCATAACCATCCAACCTGTAAAGAGATAACTAGTGTCATTTCTTTACCATTGAGTTTATTGTAATCATTCAGTCCATTTGCTGTTTTCAGCATAATTGGTATTTTCTCCACACGTATAGAAAATATAATCATTATTCTTTATTAATGAGGGTGATTGTTGCTTACTTCTTATAGCTATTAGCCAATAGGCCTACAATAGTATAAAAATCGAGATCTAGTTTGTATTCACCAAAAAAAAAGATGTGAAGTGGCTGCGTCTGCGGGTATCCCGAATTGAACCCCAACCTGCTGTTTTTCTGTGCGGAGATTGTATGTTATTGGCGACTCTAATGGCTTACTATACTATGACTTTTTTATGCCTAACTATATTATGACGATTTTGTGCCTTACTATACTATGATGTTTTTATGCCTTACTATACTATGATGTTTTTATGCCTTACTATACTATGATGCTTTTATGCCTTACTACACTATGACCTTTTTAATTGCATTTTATGCCTTACTATACAATAAAAAATTTACTACATTGTATGCCTTAGTATAGTATGACGTTTTTATGACATTGTATGCCTTACTATACTATGAATTTTTCATGCCTTACTATACTATGACATTTATTTGCCTTTCTATACTATGATGTTTTATGACATTTTATGCCTTACTATACTATGACGTTTCAGTCAAGAAAGACTCATTTGCTTAATGAATAAGCTTTTATTGCCATGTGCAAAACAAGATAGGAAAAGTGAGATGTGAGAGCCTTTGGCGATTAGACCCCATCGTGCGGTCATTATGTGATAAGGGGGAGAGGCTATGCGAAGTATAGGAAAAAACCCCCAGGGAGCCAGACACTGCGTGGGCTTGAAGATAGGAGGACGAGAAGCTGGAGATCTGGATGTGATGAGGGTGATGATGAGCTCGGCCTGACAGGATATGAACATTGGAGGTGGATGAAGTGGAGGAAGTTGCAGCAATCCGCCTCAATTTGAAGACTGGAGGCGAAAGGGGTGGAGGAGGGTCACAACTACCGCACTGAAATGACAGCTGACAACACGAGAGAGGAGAACAGATTTTTAAAGTATGACAGGGACAACTTCATTGACTGGTTGAGATCGTGGTGAGATGTGATTGGTTGTCAAGCACCTGAAGTCAGCTGATTACAAGGAGTGGGGAGAGAGAGGGAGAATAGATAGTCTTCCTGATTGAATTCACAATAAGCTTCATTTTTGTGCCTTAATATAGTATGGCTTTTTAATGCCTTACAATACTATGACATTTTTATGCCTTACTATACTATGATGTTTTCATGACATTTTATGCCTTACTATACTATGACGTTTTTATGCCTTACTATAACATTTACATGACATTTTATGCCTTACTATATTATGATGTTTTTATGACTTTTCATTTGTTACTATACTATGTCTTTATGACATTTTATAGCTTTATATACTATGACGTTTTTATGCCCTACTATATCATGATGCTTTTATAACTTTTTATTTGTTACTATACTATGACATTCATGCCTTGCTATAGTATGACATTTTATGCCTTACTATACTATGACGTTTTTAATGCCTTGCTATACTATGATGTTTTTATGCCTTACTATACTATGACGTTTTTATGCCTTACTGTACTATACCTTACTATGTTTTTATGCCTTGCTATACTATGACTTTCTTAGGCCTTACTACAATATGACTTTTTTTCTGCCTTACCATTCCTGGATGTATATGTTTTTATGACATTTTATACCTTTCTATACTATGATGTCTTTATGTCTTACTATACTATGTGGTTTTTATGACTTTTTATCTTTGCTATACTATAACCTTTTATGCCTTACTATACTATGACATTTTTATGGCATTTTTATACCTTACTATACTATGACCTTTTAATGCCTGACTATACTTTGACTTTTTGTGCCTTACCATATTACGCTGTTTTTATGCCTAACTATAGTATGACTCTGCAGCATGTCTCTAATGCTGCTGCCCCAGCAGACTGCAACATAAAAAAGGACACTCAAGGCACCTGTGGGAGCTGCCCAGTTAGCACACCTGTTCTCGTGCTGCTGTTTAGCCCAGCAAAGTAAAAACAATTTTTTTAAAGAAAATGCAGTCGTCCATTTGTATTTTCATTTTCATATACTCATGGGCATTCTATAACATATTAAAATGAAAATTGAAAAACTATTGACAGTTCATTTTCAAAGACTTAACCTGCTCTACAGTGACAATATTCAAATACAACAAGCAAATAGCGGCCAGAGTCCATTGCATTTACATTTATATGTCACTACGCTCTTTTAGGGTCAACATGAAAATGACAGCAGACTGCAGCATAAAAAAGTACCACCACTGACTGATAAAACATGTGCAGCATTTCACTGCAAACGTCAAAGGTCCTGAGCTTACTGAGGAAAAAAAGCTGGCTCTGCCACTTCGGGTAGATGGCATCCATGTTCAGGGACCAGTCCAGTTTACTGTCCATGTGCATACCTAGGTTTTTATAAGTGTGCACCACCTCAATGTCCTTCCCTCTAATGCTGACTGGCTGAAGGGTGGGCCTAGACCTCCGAAAGTCAATGACCTTGGTCTTGGAGGTGTTCAGACAGAGGCAATTCTTGTTGTACCACTCACTGAAGGCCATTGTCAGATCCCTGTACTCCTCTTCCGGTCCATTCCTGATACACGCCACAATAGCTGTGTCATCAGAGTATTTCTGGATGTGGTAGGACTAAGAGTTGTATTTAAAGTCCACCATATACAGAGTGAACAGGAACAGAGCCAGAACAGTCCCCTGTGGACCCCCAGTGCTGTTCATCACTGTCCCTGAGACACAGTTAACTAGCCTGACGTACTGTGATCGTGTTGTCAGGTAATCCACAATATAGTGGATTATGTGTATATATCAAATTATGTCTATTTGAAAGTTGTAAATGTTAGGAAGATATTAACAAATGTTTTTCATTTATTTGTAAATTAATTGAATGTATTCACAGATCATTTTTTATTTGTGGAATTTCTTTGTGTATTTGCAAATCTGTTTTATATTTGCAAAATATTTTTGTGAATTTGCAAATTCAATTTTTGTATTTGTGGAAGGTGTTTTATATGTACAGATTACACATTTACGCATGGATTGTTGATCTGTTAACACAAATAATACTGAAACAAATCTACCTCCATATACTTCATTCATGGTTTCTTAATCACATGATGTGGTGTCTCTTGTGTGTTGTGAAATGCCTGTATTAGAAAGTCTACCTGAGTGTGACTGCTGGCTTGAGGAATAAGCTGTCATCATCTCCTCATGCTGTTTCTGAAGGGTCGCCTAGCTGGTCGAGCATGGTCTGAATGAGGGTCTGCAGCAGAGGTACCACACTGTCAGCAGAGGCCAGGCTGCCAGATGTGGGTATGTGGATGAGGGCTGCCCTCCCCTGCCCGTGATACAGTGAGCAGTAATAAGCAAAGTCACACAGGTACCTGAAAAAAAGACAGAAAGAATGATTTCATAGTTTTGAGTGTCTATCTACACACAGCAGAAGCAGATGCCCACCTGCCAGCATCTCTTGAATAAATGACATCCACCCCTGCTTCTTTGAACTGTTTGGAAACAGCCTTCATGTTAATGACCGAGCAGAGTTTCTCTGGTCCTCCTTCCATGCAGCAGTGATTTGCAGGACAGAAACCGCACACATCTTTGTCTCTGTATCCACTGTTCTTCCCCGTTTGCTCCAAAATTATGACACTGGATCCTCTGGCTATGCCCAGATGTACTGCAAACTGGGACACACACAAACACAAACGGTTAACACAAAATAAGCTATTAATACTGTCATCACCAGAGTGCATTTATGGGCTTTTGGGCATCTTCTGTAGTTTTTTTCTTTATTCTTTTTTTCTTTTTTCTTTTTTTTATAGCAATATAAGGGTTTTAACAAATGTTACAGTTTAGAAATAGGACAGGTTGTGGATATTTATGGTTTGGTTCTGGTGTTTTTGGACACAATACATTTAAATTAGGTTAATAAATAAATCTGTGAATTAAAGATCATTTTACTACTTATTTAAATGAATTAGTCTTTGAAACAGCATATAGACCTATATTTTGGGAAATAAAAAAGCACTATAATTGAACAGTAAAAGGGAATAATAAAATATTCTGAAGCAAAATTAATAGTTTGACAGTCTTGACAGTATTTAAAATCAAATGGCTACAGCCCTTGTCTTGACTTTAACACTATATTTTACCTTTGGGTTTAAAGTCTGCCAAATGTCAGCAATGATTTGTTGAGTCTTAATATAAGTCACTGGCACCTCCTTGATATGAACATCAATCCGCTCTCCCAGTCTGACCAGCTTCAGCCCCTATAATAATCCAAATATTCAGACATTTTGCTTTTGTTACAATGGACTTTCCGCATCGACCGGTGTTTTGTTCCTAAACATTACCTGGGCTGCTTTCCAGCTCGGGTTCACCAAGAACTGTCGAAAAGGTCCAAACCCTACAGAAGATTAGAAATCGCGCCTGAAAATAAATGCGGGTAGAGTGCATATGTTCATGGGAAAACGCTTGTTTTGTTTTGTTTTGTTTTTACCAGTGACGACCACAGCTTCGCTTCCACTCATGACGGGGTAAAGTTTACCCTGATTTCAGTGAGGACAGATGGTTGTTACACGTTTAATGTCAGGACACTGAAAAACAAGCTTAGATCTTGCAGCTCACTTTTTGTCCACTTGGAGGAGCTATTCCCCGGCAAATAAATATGGTAGCCCCGTGTGGAAGTGGTGCATTCAGGCGCCTGCGGTAAATTCGTTATCCAATTTAAAGGTCTTAAACATTTCGTCACAATCTAAGTGGCCTGATGATCAGATTGAACTGCCGTTTCATTTTCACGCCGTTCTTACCATCTATTCATATATTTACTCGATACTTATTATACTTGATTATTAAAATAACAATTTCTGAAAAAACATTGATGTTGGCAGGGATGTTGGTTGGGACAGGCGTGTTACTTTATTTAGTATCTCTATTAAAACAAAACGTGAATATAAATTAATATAAACACAGCATACAATATATTTAGATAACATTTCTGTTAAAATAGCAACTACATAAGACAATCAGTTTGGCTAGATCCATCATTTCACTGCAAGATATATTTTCATCACCTAGGTTTAATTTTTAGTTTAGTCTCACAGTTGTGTTTACCACATCTTTAGGTACTGAGATCTCTGAATTGTAATATTCAGACAGCACCTAAATGCAGCATAACATCTGCCAGGGACACGGGTGCGCTGGGACGATCCTGTGAGGCAGGACACGCCCTCCTCCTCCTGCACTTGTCAAAGGGCACTGATCGCAAATTACATCGCAGTTGGGCCCACAGACGCATTCGCATATGACACCGGCCAGCCTGTCTCCTAAATTAGCCTAATACCGAGTGGACAATCTTTAAACTGTCCTTTTTATTGTTAGATGCCACAATGTTGCCTTTCAAGAGAACTTTTGAGAACGAAAAACACCAGCTACAGGAGCTCAACAGCAGACTTTCCCAGTATCTCTCCAGGACGAAGCAGCTGGAGCAGGAAAATGCGCATCTGATCACTGAAATAAATAAACTCAGGCAAACGAAGACGGCGGAATGGGAGCCGAAGTACAAGGCTGAGATACGGGACATGAGGAGAATGGTGGGACAGCTGTCGTTGGAGAAGTCCCAGGCTGAGATGGAGAGGGAGAAGCTATGGCGGGAGTTGCAGATGGTCCAGTCTCTGTGCAGCGAGCAGACTGGTGTGTGCAGGGACATCAGTGGCGAGCTGAAGGGCTGCGAGAAGGAGCTTCACCACGCTCACAAGACCAACAGTGAACTCGAGCAGCGTTTATTTCAACTCGAGACCGAGTATAAATGCTTAGAGGATGCACACAGGCAAGAAATGGACCACTTCAGGCGTCAGGTGGAGGCCCGGGTGGTGCCCATCATCACGCAAACTTATCGAGGGCCTCCGGTGGCCTCCATGGAAGAGGTGCAAGAGTATGCCCGAGGTATGTCCGAAGGGTGGATTGAGACTTTTGAAATGTACCAGCGTAAAGTGGAAGAGATGGAGCAGTCGATTAAAGCGGACCAGGCGATGCTGAGTGAGCTGCAGAGGGAGAAGATGCTGTACGCCTCAGAGTTGGACAAATTACGCACAGAGGCGGAAAAACAAGGCCACATTCAGATGCGTCTTGAAGAACAGCTGATGCATATGCAGGAAAAATTCCGTGTGGACTTCGGTGAATATCAGGTGAGAGGACAAAGAGAGCCCATATTAATATTTCAAAAGACTCAAGTGAAGCCAGAGGCTATTCGATCTGTTTAGCTGTTCAGCATCTAAATACAAATTTTTAGAAAAAAACACAGAGTAATCCCCCGTTGATCCCACTGGGCGATGGGAGCGGCTACCCCCTGTTGTCCGTGCCACACCCACTGTCTTTAAAGGCACTGAGGAAGCTGCAGCTGTCAGCCCAAATAATTATTATATCATCACACATCTAGGCTGAAACTTAATACAGGAATAGCTATGATGTGGGACATCCTCTAACTAATCTCACTCTGTGCTAAAAGCAGTGGATGCTGGCTCTAAAATTAATGTAACTCTCCCTACCTCAACACATAATGACATTACCAGCGTTAAAGTGGTGTCTGACAAGTTTGTGTTCCCATAACTGTTGAAAGCGTGGATCTTGTGTGCAACATTTGACCTCAGTATAAAAGGATTGAATAGCTTCAGTAGCTGAACTACACACTACCTCCCCAGGACTTTGTTGCTGCTAGATTACACCAGCCACTTAAACCAATTAGCTGTCAGACTGACAAATCCTTATTAGCCTCCTAAAGATGGAGCTCCAAGCAGGTCAGCCAGTTACAAATGACCACACTGGCTCTACACTGTAGTGCTGCCTTCAGTATTGTAACAAAGGCACATTTCTCACAGTTTAAGCCCAGGTTAAAATTTTGAATTGAGCATGACGTTTGCTTTAGGATGTCAAATGTTATTGGAAAACAAATTTACGTAATTAACAACACTGCAGGCGGCAGTAAAATAAAAAAGTGGTTAGACACTCTATGGTTAACAAGGAAGCCAAATGATTGCAGTATTTTCAGTTAAACTGCCGGGATATACAAAAAAATTATAATACCCAATGGACAGACCATAGACTTGTAAAATTAAACTATGTGCGAAGTGAAAATGTCTTGTTTGTTTTTTTCTGTGCTTTTTTTTCTCTCCTCCAGATGATTATTGAGCAGCTGGAGCACGAGAGGAACAAGATGGCTGACACTATAGCAGAAAAGATGAGAGAACATCAGCACCTTCTCCAGGTTAAGATGGATCTGGGCATGGAGGTGGCTGCCTACAGGTGACGAGCTGATTCATTTTGTCAGTTGTCCAGTCAAAACAGACTTGAATCAATTATCGCCTTGGGTAGAATATGCCCAGCAGTCATTTTGATTTGTCTTAGGGAATAGCACAGGCATTATGAATGAGTTTTTAAAGGTACAGTACATCCTCTTTTTCCTGTGACATTTGCATGCTTTCAACAAGAGATTATTGTCCAGCTCCAACTGCCTCAAGTGCTCTTAGTTTGATTAGTTATTTCATCAAATGCATCGGAACAAATCACCAGCCTGCTTCTTGTTGGTCTTGGCAGTAAGTGTTCTGATCTGAACACTTGTGCCTCAGGCAGATAAATTGAAAAGTAGCAGCCCACATTTACTGTCTTATAAATACCGCACATCCTTGTTTATCAGAGTTGTTTAAAACTTTCTCTGTGGTTTGTCTTAAGTGTCTACGAAGCAAGACAAATTATATTTGGCATTTCATATCTTGTAATAACATGGCATGTCTTGTTTTCATGCGCCTAACATAGCCAGATCACACATGGTCACATACTAACAGACTATTTTTACTGAAAGAAGTTATTTATAAAGCAGTCAATAAACATACGGTATTTTCACATTCAAAGCTTATATCTAGTTGTTTTTTCTTCAGTTACTTGTTGTAACATCATAACATTATAAAATCTTACCTCATTTAACAGGACATCTAAACAGTCTACGGCATAACAGTTGTTAAGGTTGACCAACATTTTATTAATATTAAGCAAAGTCCAAGGAAGTTCTTTAGAAGACTGTCTAATCCAGTGTGTCTCTATATGGCAGATTCTCCACTGGCACATCTGGTTTGTTTTGAATTTTTGGAATAGGCAGAATGTTTGCTCAGAGACGTGTCAGTGGCATGTGTTTCTGTATATGTCACGAGTCAGCTTTTGCTTTGGGATTCACTGGGAAGTGTGGACAGCTCCGCATTGTAGCTGTTATTTTTAGGTCAGTCTTTCGAAAGACACTCTCGGGAGAGGTTGTTCCTTTTTGATGGACTTTGCTTTCCTTTTTGTATGTTTGATGAAGCATGGCCAAGGAGAGGTGAGCTGTCTAAGCAAGTGACTATAGGGTCCTTATTACATGACAGTGGCTTGTTATGTTTTCGATGATTACTACCCTATATGGCCAGGTCCTGGGTTCATACCGTCTTGTAAGCCTGTTGCGTTTAGTTTGAGCGAGTTGAGATGGCAGAGCTGAATGATGTACATCGTCTTTTGAGGTATTTATATTTGAATTTTATTTGTGAAACATAATTTGATTAAAATAGGGGAATAAGCAATTATTTATAATGACCTATTTGCTTTTGTCTAAGTATTTTGTTTCTTCTTTGTTCAGGGCTCTCCTGGAGGGTGAGAGAGTGGGTCTGCAAGATGCTCATAGGAGAGTGAATCAGCATCAAAGAGAAAGAATAATAGGTACTGTATTGAACTGTACTGAATACTGATCACAAGAGAACACTTTAAAACTAGAGTTAATATCTACCTGAATAAATGAAAATATGTTCAGAAATTAAGCTACACTAAACAATTCATTAGTTTGAAGCGTCAAGAGATTTGACTAAATAGGAAATGTCAACAAATCAAGTAATTATTTATGCTAATTATGTCTCTGCCTTAGATATCAAGATGCCAGCCAAACCCTACACACCAAGAGCTTCCATCTTAACCACCAGACAACATATGGACATCCGGTACACGCCGCCGACGTCAAGCCTGAGAAGATCTCCCGTGCCTCCCTCTGGGTCCATAAGTCCCTCCAGGGTCATTCCCATTTCAGTTGCAGGCAGAGCTCGTTATCAGAGTCCTGAATCCAGAAGGGACATGATTTCATTCGCCAAAGCTCGGGCTGCCACTTCTGCCCCTGCTACTACCACCGCCACAGCTGCTGCCAAAGATAAACAAACAGGCCACAGGGAAACCCACGTGAGTGAGGTTGTGCAGAAAACAACAGTAGAGGAGAAAACTGTGAAAATCAAACAGGCCTCTCAGGTAGAGAACAAAATCAGTCCCATCATGTCCTCCACTGCCGAGACCAAATCAGTGAGAGTGGTGTCACCGCCAATGATGAGCCTGAGCGCGAAAATGGAGACAGTAAGCAAAAAGCTACTGTCAGATGAAACAGAGGTAGATAATCTTTATGACAGTGAGTTCAAAGACAAAGGGAGAACAGAGTCTACGGTAGGGCCAAGTGAGAAGAAGATATTAGACTCTGTGTCTGTAGAGGAGATCATTGAGAAAGTGATGAAACCAGCAGGTTTGGAAGCAAAGGTTTGCTCATCAGGAGAATCCAAGGTCAGATATCATGTAGAGAAAACTCAGCAGGACGATGGCACGACTAAAACACAGATCGTGCTGGAGTCCAAAGTGGAGGAAGAGCTGGATATTTCTGAAGACTTTGCCCTGGATGAACTTCTGAGCCAAGGTGTGAAGAAGGTGTCACTGCAGGACATCAAGGACACAGCAACAGGAAGCATGATTAAGAATCTACTAAGTGACCTGCAGGGAGCAGAGAACCTGCAAAATAGGTCTGTCAATGTGGAAATCATTGAGGAACCGGTTGACTCTTTCAGTGATGAGGAGCTTGAGGTTGAACAGAAGTCCAGATCTACTTTTTATGAGCCCTCCTCAACATATTTCCAAATTGAGGAGCTAGAAAATGTCCCTCATGACGCTCATGTTCAGAGGAGTGATGATGATGCCATGAAATCTTCCATGACAGGCACAGATCATTCCAAGGGTAGATCTGTCCACGTTGAAGAGGTCTCTAGACAGAGTGAATCTTCATATTTCTCTCGTGAACAAGAGCCTCATGAGTATTATGTCTCAACACCAGATGATAATCTCTCTGAAGCCGAGGAGGGTGGTGCCATCACCTCATACGGCCATTATGGCGTTCTAGATGACCTGTCAGATGAGAGGTATTATCAAGATGAAAGTCTTCCACTGAAGAGCGTGATTGTAGAGGAAAGTGACGAATACAAGTTCATGGCAGATGATCACTCCTTTGTCAAAGAGAGCTTTCCAGATTGCATCCTTGAAGAAGAAGTTCGTGTCTCCCCAGTAGTGCAGGAATCTGTTCTCGAGTTCCTGAGAGAGGACTCTTTGGAGCCCAAAGAGCAGCTGAGAGGAGCTCTAGAAAAGCTACAAAGCTCAGTTTCAGGTCCCCTGAGGGAGGAATTGGCTTTCCTCTCAAAAGTGAGCAGTGAAAGTCCACAGAACGTGGCTGTCGATGTCAAAAAAGTGCAGCAGTCAAATGACAATGGAACCATGACTATAGTTGCCGAGCTAAATGTCTCTCAAACTCTGGAAGACTCTGGGCTGCTGGAGGCAGAAGATGATCTGTCTGAAGAGCAGATCATGGCAGCTCTCAGATCTTCTAACCTAGGGCTTGAGAAAACCTTCCAGGGCGGGGCAGGAGGAGGGTACAGCTTCAAAGTCACCAAAGAAGAGGCTGTTGCTCATGGTGAAGAGATCGAAGGCTTCACACACCTAAGAGAATCTGTGTCTGAAATCACTGAGAAACATATAAAACTTGGGCCTTCAGAGAAGTCCTTCACCTTCCAGATGGATGTACAGAGCAGCCATTCTGAGGCATCTCCAGAGCAAGAGCTGCAATCTCAAACCCCAGAGGCCCCAGTGAAGATTTCTCAAGAGAAAAAAGTTGCAACAATTTACCTTGAAAGCCCTACAGATGACTAAGGAAGAATTCAGTCAGAAATATTTTAAGACCCAGGGCTTGCCAGTGTATCCCTTGCTGAAGTGCACATACAGATGTTGTTTTGATGCAGCAGTTAATCATATATGGCATTAATGCTGATTGCAGACACAGTAATAATGACAGTTATAATGCTGTAATTTTTGCGGTAAAACATTATATATCTATTTGATTTTGGTATGCTGTTTTACTGTACCTAATAACAGTGTGTTAAAACTTGGTTTACCTAACTGCATTTCATGATTCAAGTTAAATTCTGTTATGTAGTTAAAATTACCAAATTAATACATATTTTATGGTATTCATTGCGGCAGCATTACTATTAAAAATACTCCATGCTAACTAATATGAGCAACCTTAAATTAGGATTATAACATATATAAATTGTAGCAATTTCTTATGGTAGTTAATACTGATGGAGTGTTGCGCAGTTATGTGTAATCCTTTTATAGATTGCAGTTTATCTTCAAACTGTTTTGTTTACTCTCTAGATTTCTCTATTTTTGTACTAACTTGTGCTGTTCAGCTTAAATAGCCTGTTCTGCAGTTTACAGCTCACCATCAATCCAACAAACACATCATAATGTTAAGTCTAAGTGGTCAAGATTTAGTGCAGACTAACATTTGACAGTTGGAGTAATGAGGTGCTGTGCACCGTTTGCAGACTGGACCTTATTCATTTTTCTTTTGTCTCGGGCACTGCTACCAAAGGGAATGATATTAGAAGCTTATATACTGCATCGTGGAACACAGTGGTTTATTTTAAGGAGTAGTCACTAGTGTGTACAGAATATAGTTAAGATTGTAGCTGACAGTATAGTAAGAGTGAAGAAAAAGATGGTAATTTGTCTCATGAAATTTTGCAAGTTTTGAATGCTGAAGTCAAGGTGTAGAGCAAGTAAATGTGGCACTTAAAAGTGGCTGATAACCCTAGCTCACAAAGTTAAGTATTGTCAGATTATTTAACTTTACTCACAACTAAATGGCACAGTACACATTTTGAATAATCAGAAAGAAGTACTGCCCAACCACATGTGGCATTACATTATCAATGTAATCAATGTGAGAAATGTTTGTAAAAAGTTTATCTTCACATGTGTCAATACCATTTTTAATTTCATTGGGGGATAATTTTGCTCTGAACATGTGATTCGAGATGGGAATTCAAAATGGTGCATTTTACCATTTAGAACTCCAAAGGAGGGTTGTTGTTGTTTGAAAAGCAAACAGTAAGATGACAGAACGAAAAGAGGTAGCAGAATCTGAATGAATTAAGGATGCAGCAATAGTGATGTTAAAGGAAATATATCCACATCTGGTTTTGATGTATGTCGTGTCTGAACCTTTTGCTTGTCCACATTTGTTGGTTATCACAGTGTTGGCTTGAGGAATTCACCTTTACTCTGACTTAAGAGTGTGTTCATGACCGTGACTATTTTTGGATCATCAGCTTAGTGGCATTGAGTGTTCACTAGGGTTTGTTGTGTTGTGTACTACTTACAGAGGCAGAAATAGTTCACTATGATTACAGCCTGGTTACATATTTTACACATTTTGTCTTATTGGCTATACTAATGAACACTTTGCAACCACTGAGCAGTGTCTTCACAGATTGGCTTTTTGGCACTATCATGTTGAAACAATGTGCAGAATTACAATGTTTAGTGTGAATGCCATGCTTTTATTAATATATTCATTGCTAGAAATCTACAAAATAAAACTTCTTAAAATATTTGTTGCTTTGAAGTGCCCAGATACAGCAGACTTCCATACATTTTCTCAGCTGCAAACTTTGTGCAAAAACACGCGTCACATATCAGTGCACTTAAAAAACAGAATCTTTGTTAGGTGTGTACACAGTGCAATCTGGATTCCATGTGCCATTTCATAGCATAAACAAATCTGTGTACATCAGCATACAGAAAATCTATTGATGTATAAAGAATGTTCAGTGAGTCAGTGTTAAATAAGTGTTAGTCACCATGGATAGCCCAACACCGTTGCTTTTATTGACATAATGATTTCTACTGAACAAATGACATCACTGCTTTGGTTGAAATTGGTTCCAGCCCTTACTTGGAAATTGATTCATATCTTAACACAATTAAAACCTATTGTGGGTATGTTTTCTGAGTGTGAGTTTTTCTTCAAAGATCATCATAAGCAGAGTAATTAGAAAGTTTCAGCAGTGTTGCCTGTATAATGTAATTTACAGAAAAACACAAATGTCAGAAGTTCTTGGTCCAAACCCTTAAAGTTACTGAAGTGACAAAATTAAAAAAAAAAAAAAAAAAAAAAAAAAAAAAAAACATTTCAAGAGTCAGACATGGAATTTCCATCATTGCCACTTGAAGGTGCAACTGAAAATGTATGACGTTTTATTTTTCTTCTACCTTGTCTCTGTAGCCTCTCAGCCACTGCCGGTGCCCTGCAGAACATACAGTACTTGGTTACATCACTGAAATGTGGGCTGAATTGTTACATAAATCTGTTTTCTGTTTTTTTCAAATCAAATGTCAAATTCATTCTAACATTTAGTAAAACCTGTCAATTGGCAATTTATCACCAGGAAAATCAAATCACTTGATATAAGATACTGGCAAATATAAGTCTAAGTTCTGCAGATTTACCGAGCCAGCATGTCCACAGCTTTTTGTGTAGCTTTTGTCTTCTTGTGCTGAGGCCCATACATCCAATTCTGGATTTCCAGGCACTAAAATTAAAAATAAAAATAATGGCAGTGAGTGGTTGGTGGAAGATGAGAGGTGCAACTCATACTCAGAGGGGAATAAACACTTCCTAGCAACATGTGAATGCACTAAACATCCCAAAATAACCACTGTAGCAGTCCAAGGTTTAGATAACACCTGTGCTGACCACTCTGAGTGTCAGGTCAACAAGGGGGATCTGCTAGATTTATTACAAGGACTCTAAACCAGCAACCAAGGAATCTGAAGTGGTTAACTCAACAAATTCAAGACGCAGCTGAGTTGTTTTCAACTTTACATTTAGTTTGGTCCAATCAAATGAGAGGAATGAGCAATCACTACGTAGCTCTATGACATCAGAAAATGTTACATAATTTAACAAAAAACAGAAAAGTCTAAACTTTTAACTACAAACACATGTATATGATTACAGAGTTCCCATGGTGACACAACAGACATGATACAAACCTGCCTGTGATTTCTGCAATCATCATAAATAACAAGATGTAAAGAGTACAATGTGAGAACTTTGTTAAATCAGGGACAGAGGGAGCGAAGTTTCCCTCCTCACCAGGGAAAGTAAAACACCCGGTAATCTGGAACATATCCATCTGGTCTCATGGATGTTTTCACTGTTGCTAAGGTTGATGTAATGGAAGGTGTTTTTTTCAGGAGCACTACAGAGGAAGGAGGAAATGTGAAGTGGGAGTCTGTGTGTGTGTGTGTGTGTCATTGTTCTCGATGTTTGTTTTGAGGGGTTTTTACTGCATGAGCCAGTTTTCCTTTGGAAAAAAAAAAAGTTACTCAGTTGCTGAGCAGATGGTGTCATGATGACAGGAAAAAAAATGACTTGACAGGTCTGCTCTGTGTCAGGGTACTTCAGAAAGGTTACTACTCGGATGTGGTGTAGAGAGAGTGAGCCCTGATGTTCCCTGTCATATTTGGACCCCTCTGCACTTACATGCCATAACAAAACAACATAGCAACCAGCCTTCTTCACTTACAGGCATGTCATTACTAGTATGAAGAAATCCCCCTTTACTGGTGTATTTTAGTATGTTTGATGGGTGGCAGAAGTGAGCTCATAGGGCAAACATGTGCAGTCATACTGTATGTGAAAAACAAAAACACTCTCATTTGAAAATCAAGTAAAATAGTAATAGCTATAGAGGAGGAACTGAAAAGCTGCTGTTTATTCAATGCATGTGCGCTGAAAGACACAAGAATGTCACTTTTGTTTCAAAGGACATAATGGCATGCCACGCTAATTGGGGTCAATGTCCCTTTAATTGACAGTACTTGGCAAACTGCCATTCTCGTTCCAAAGTTGTGTTGCCCATCTGTCAGTCTCCATCCTGACTGAGGAAACACAAAGTCACTCTGTGTGATATTTTACACCAGGGAGGGTGGCTCTCCACCTTGCACCCTTCCAAGATTAGCATGCGACTCTGATAACGCTGTGCTTTAGAGAGATGTCGGAAATAGCTCATCTCAATATGACAGAGACTCTTTGTGTGTATTTTGAACAAGCCTCCGACCCTCTCACTGGTGTAGGTGGCCACACCCGCTGACTCTTGGCCTTTTATTAAACCCTCCGGAATAGTTTGGCAGGGGACAACATCATGTTCGATGACAGTAACTACTACTCGGATTTCTAATATACATTTGCAAGTGATAACCTGTAACAATACTTGTGCTGTTTGTGTTGTGTTGTGTAACATGTGATTACCTTTGTCATAGTCCTGTGGGCCTGTATCATCCTGCCCTCAGTCATCTCCACACTTCCTATCAGCTGAAGGGTGTCTGCTACCTCAGCACTCAGGTCACCAAATGTAGATCTCTTCAAAATAAGTGATGCTCTCTGAATCTCCACACATCTCTGCAATGGTACATTACAAATAGGTAAGTCATCGCTTACTATCAGTAGAAAGAGCCACACCCTGTTTAGCAGGTGGAATCAACCCCTTGACAGTTACTAACTCTGAGGGGCTGTTTCCATGGTGCTGCTCTCTGAAGGAAAAAATGTGCTGATAATAAAAGCTGCTGTGGATGTCAAAATTGCAGTAACAAAATATATGAGGTGTGTCTGAAGGAAATTGGCATTGTCTGACTGATATGACAGATATGTGTGTGTGTGTGTGTGTGTGTGTGTGTGTGTGTGTGTGTGTGTGTGTGTGTGTGTAACCTCTTGCTGGCCATTGAGGAGGAGGAAACGACAGAAATCATCCTGGGCAGTGAGGAAGGCTGGATCCTGTGGACCTACAGAGTTCTTATATGCCCTAAGACTCTGCTCAAAGTATTGATCTGCAGAGTCTACACCAGCATGAGAAAAAATACACAATGATGAGCCTTTACTATTTAAATTATAGCATTAATTGACAGAATTACTGATTCTGAAAATGTACACTGCAACAGAATCACTACAATACATTTTTCTACACCAATCCTTCCAATATCCTTAGTTTCCAGATGTTATGCTTTACACAGATACCGTGGATCAGACATTTGCCTTGAGTATGTTGACATGAGTGAATCATACCGACATGGCTGAACTTGGACATGTAAGTCTATTACAACAAGGCTATTATAAGTCTGGTTTCCATAACGCCATCTTGAGGAATTTGACATATAGGAAGACAATGGGAGATTTTAGTCCTAATTAACCCCTTATGCCTATTGCTCAGGCCTGTGTCTGTGAATACTCACCATTGTGATGGGGTTCTGCTGCAGCAGAGAGGATGAGGGCCAGGCTGTGGGAGATCTGAGCCCCCTCGAGCTCCTCCGGGCTGTGGCTCATAGAAATGGCATGAGCCTAGCAGAAACACCCACATGAAATAAGACAGATCACATATCAGCAAATACGGGGTGTGGGAACATTACCTAACAACACAGTTTGGGAGCGTATCAAGAAGCCCTCATGTGGTTATATATGTTGTGCTTTAGAGTTGTGTGTGATGTGGAAGTGATATGCCACTTGCCTTGGAGAGATGCTCTATGGCTCGGTCCAAATGACCTCTGTCCTGTTCAATGGCGGCCATGTCCCTATAGACGGAGCAGGTCTTCTCTGACTTATCACAGTCCTTCAGCAGCTGCAGAGACCTCTCACACTGGCTTAAAGCTTTGTCTGGCCTGCTCTGTCTCTTATAGATCCTATACAGCAGAAAGGACACACAAATAGGCAGAGACTGAAAGACAAACATAAAGACAGTGACCAGTCTGGTCTGCTGTACAAGGCAGCAGGGTATAGCAATACACTGAAACCATTACATCTACAGTGCATGTATAGTAGCTGACCCTGCTAATTAGAAATAACAAAATTAGGATATTATTTTAATACATTATGTGTAATAACACACTCGATTCAGTGTATTGTTAATATATACCCACAAACCTGTTACTTCATGACTATGAACCTGTAACTGTTTGGTCTCTAACCGAACCCTGGTCCTACAGAAAGGTGAATGCTTTTGGCTGATGGCTGCTGCTGAGGCCTAATGCAGTGCAGACTATAATAGGGAAAGCTTGCACATTGCCCTTTATAACTGTTTTTGTTGCATCCTTTGACAAGTAACTGTCTCCCACTCTCTCATTACGGTTGCACTGTCCCCTCACTTTAAATACTGCACACCAGTATCCGACAAATATTAGACAAATGTCTAAAATAGGGGATGCCCTCGCAATCTCAGGAAACCACAAACGCAAAACTGAACACTGAAGCATGGTCCCTGATGAGAGAAGCTGAGAGCTCTACTTCTATAACACATTTGTCACCCATCTGTATATGTGCTGTTGCAACAAAGGTTTTTAAGCTTCAGGTGTTTTGCTGATGCGTATAACAGCATGCATGCACAGTGGTTGCTGTTTTAAAAGACAGCCACTTCCTGCCAAGCCCAACTGCATGCAGTATGCACTACAGCAGTATGGACTACAGAGCAAGTGCTTTGGCAAGTGGAAAGAGAGGATGAGATAATAGCTGCATTAACCACTGCAAGGACACTGGATCCATCAGGCTACTCTGCTAACAGCTTCAAACCATCTAATGGACTCTAAATTTAATTCAGGTCTTCAGTCAAGGGGGGTGGCCTTTCTCAGAGGGCACAAAACTCAGTACTATTCGATCTCTAGCTAGCTTGCTGTCATACAGCAGTATAGGAAACACCTTTTCACAAATTATCTTCCCACATCCACACTGTACACACTATTAACTGTGTATAGTAGTTATCTGAATGACGGTTCATTTACCTACAAAATGCACATGGAAGTAAACTGTAGGAGCATGGCTTTTGATTTGTTTTTATCCAAGGTGCCCTCCGGTATCAGAAGTACATACAGCAGTGTGTCTACCAAAGGTCTAAGCTTGACAGTGTTATGTCATGCTCACATCCCTAGACAGCATGGATTTGGGTATTCCTGGCTCAGTGGTTAAATGCCAGCAGCACAGGTTACAATAACAGCGTAGAGGCTCATTTCTTTGGATTTTCCCATGAATCCAAGATTATCCTAACATGCCATGATGGATAGGAGGAGTGCCCTGCCCATAAGTGTTCACGAGGCAGTCACTTAAGTCCTTTTAGGGCAGCAGAGCTGAAGCAGAGCTACATTGCATTCCAACATGGCTTGAGTCCTGCCATTCTGCCTGCATGGCCAGACAGAGACAATGCTTCTCTATCCTCTCATTCACTCTGCATCCTTATGCGCTTCCTGGCAGAACGGTAATATGCCACATCCCACTGAAATCTACTAAGACTCCACAGGGCAGGGAATTAATATAATTAAGGATTTGTAGATGTGTTGCCAAGCAAGCCACACAACCCTCTTTTGTAAACGTTTCCAGAACGTGGTTGACGTAAGTTTGCTCTGGGCTTTCACTTGGAAAAATGATACAGTAAAGCCAACTCAAAGTAAAAACAGAGGGACAAAAAACACAACAGTCTGCTTCAGCAAATCTGTGTGGTGTTTTAAACTGACGGCCCTCTGCCTGATGAGTCTTTTTATTGTGTGCCTCAGGCAGATTTGGGCAAAAGACTATGTAGCAGAATCCTAAATCACCTCTGTGGTTGTGGGTAGTGACGCTTAATCATGGCCATCTACAACTATATCCCTGCCGCTTTAACTTCAGTCATCTAATCGGAGACAATTTATACATCTGGATTAAGAGGCAATTGATTTTAACTAACTTTTTTTAAAATGATACCCAGCAGACTGTGGACCCTGAGCATCAGAATGATACTGACTTTAAGCATAGCTACTGTATGCTTTGTACATATTCAACAGGGTGACTGATTACTGCAACAGCAGAAACTCTGGAAACAATATGCACAAAGCTAGCAAGCAACAAGTGCATTTCAATCAATATGATGCATACACATTCAAATAAAGTTCAGGGTGGAGAAAATATGGAAGAATTTATGTGACTTTATTATTCAACTAGAGGGAATTTATGAAATACATGCTCAAAATGTTTGATTAAATAAAATGTCGACTTGAACGTAGATTTATGCCAGCAGTTATAAAGACGTAAAGAAAATAAGTTATTTTAGCAGGCATGGCCAAGTCTGACAACACAATCATATGCACATGATGAATTTAAACCTAACAAATTTTGCCATTTGGCTGATCATAGGTGGACACCTTGAGTGTGAATCTGAAACTGAGCAGAATATTTGGACCGGGATCTATAAGGGAGTTGAGCTTACATTATTGTTTCAGGCTTTGGTGGGAACATTCCCCTCCATCACAACAGTGTTGACTGACAGAGCTTTAGAAGCATGCCAAATTCTTAGTCATCACCTAACAAAAGAGATTTAGCAAGCTTACACACCAGCCAGAGTCTGCACATTTTTTCAATTACACACATCATGTCAACAAACTCTGACTCTCTGAAATAGGCTAAGATGGCATCATTTACAAATTCCGATGAGTGTAGATCACCTCAGCTGCTGATAAGGCCTATTTACAGTTAATGCTGCAGGAGTATTGTCTTTGGTCTTTACCTCGCAAAAGGATTTTTACAATGTCGGTTCCTTCTGTCTGAGATTCAAAAACTTACGACAACATGTAGAATGGCAACCCTGTTGAAACACTCTTTCCTTACATAATGATGTACAATTTGTTTTCCCTCTCTAGAACTAATAAAAATGCATTTTAAATAACTGATCATAATTCTGATAGATACATATTAAATGATAGCATTAACTATTTACAGAGTCGAACCTCTCACTTACAAAAATTAACAGGGTCAAAATAAACAGAGATATTAGTGGACTGATCACAATCCAGGTAAGACTATACTTTATATTTCCTGGTTGTGCTTCTAATTTCACCAACAGAAATCTAAGCTACGATAAGAGGCTGCTATTTTTATGTTACCACACAGTTTACCAAAGAGGCTATCAGTCTCTGCTGCACTCGATGTCTGTGCTTGGTGCCTCCACCATGACCCACTAATTCTTTAATCTTTTCGAAAGCATATAGTTCAACCCTTGGGACCTCTGCTGTCACTACAGTCATTAAGTTACTAATACATATTAATGGTATAAACAAATCAATAATATGGAAATGGTACTCTGTGTAGAGTAAACAAACCAGCTGACATTTAACTGAGAAATTTATAATGTCTGAAGGAGTCAGTCAGAATGTAAAGACAATATCTAAGTATGGTATAAATCAAGGGAGGACACTGATTAGGGAGGGAGTCAAAGCTAAACAGAAAAAAGAAAAGAAAAAAAGCAGAGATCTTACAGAGAAAAGGGTGAAATGCTTTTGAATAGGAGATATGTTTCCCTCCCATCTGTGCCCCTGCTTGAGCAGTGACTGTGTGAGAGGACAAGCAGAAATCCCCGGCCAGCAGGTCTGTAAGCATCGTTACAAAACACCCACACAGACTGCTGAGTAGACTGGACAATGACAGGGGAAAATCCTGATTTGTTAAGGTGTTGTTTCCAAGAGAACATGAAATAGTTGCATTTTTACTAGCGTCACTAAGTCAGCAAAAATGCCCTCCACTCCAAAAAACTACATGAAAGGTTGATTTTATACAAATTTGCCGGACTCTATCGCCATCTTGTGGCCAAACATAAACGTGATCTCACAGGTGCAGTTGGTGAAATAGGGAGAGTTTAATAAAAATAAATACTGTTTATGTATAATAACAATTACTGAGAATGTAAAATGCTCCAGGGTATACTCTGAATCCCCACTGGAAAGACCTGACCTGTCACCTTTCAATTGAGAATGGTGCCAAGTTGTTTGGCTCAGCTTGAACATGATACAAGAGTCACAGGAAATAAATAGAGCAAATCATCTGATCACCGGACAGCACTGCTACAAACTGAGCGGCAGCTGCTATCACACACCACAGGCTACAAATGCTGCATTATAGCCTCTTATCTGCCGTATATTTACTTGGTGAATTTACTATTTTAACTACTAGAATTAAAAAAAAATGTTTTCACTACTGAACCTGCATAGGCCAGTGGAGATTTCCAGCTCAGTCTTTATCATCTCCTCCTGGTTGATGGCAACATGTTGAGGAAGCTCCTTAAGAACATGTTCTGCCTCCAGAAAAGACGATTCTGCCTCCTCAAGAGTGGAAAAGAGTCAAGGACATTTTCACCTTGGTGTTTTGAGTTGATTTTCTGTTCAGTCCCATTCATTATTGTCAAACATATCATGGAAAGGATATTTGGCTGTAAGCAGTGAAGCACCTCCCTGTGTGAGGTGTACGCTCAGGAGACATGTTAGAAATTCATGCTTTTCACCTCTGCCGGAGGAGATGGAGGAGCAGACAGACAGCAGCTCTCTGGCCTGGGCAGAGTGCTCCTGGGCCTGCAGTCCCCAGCCTGAAGGAACAAATCAATCATCAATTTTTTTTGATTGTCTTGGATTAAAAAAGAGGTAAAATAATAGGTGTGTGAATTGTAGATGGATCCCTCAAAGATTGTCATATGGCTTGTGTGCCTGTTTTAAGTGGTCCGTGCTGACCAATTGTAAAATCTGTCGTTAAAATCTACTCACAGTATTATCTTTCTAAAATTACCTTTGAGCTGGAAATATGCTTTTGCCAGTCTGACATGGGCCTGGGCTAGTTTCAGATGTCCGTCCCCATATACCAGCCTAGTCAGAGCCACACAACGTACCAGGTCCTGGATGCAAGCATCACACTGCTCAAATACAGTAAATGTCAGTATCACATCTCTTGATAGCTCACTCCACCATTTATCAAAAGCCATACCAATAGTACAAACCCTTTCTAAGCTAATTTCAATACTACAGTACATGAGAGCACAGCTAAAATGAATTCATTCATTAGCCAACCAACAGAAAACGGATTGACCTCAAATGTGATAATCAATTAACTCTTTAAGTCATTTATCAAGCAAAAATACATTTACTGGTTCTAGTTTCTTATCTAGTTTCTTTCTCTCTCTTCGATATATTGTTTTACTGCATTGTAAACTGAGTATATTTGGGTTTTGGCCCATTGGTCAGACAAAGCTATTTGAAGAAATTAGTTTTGATAATCCAGGATCAGATTTTTGGAGTATCCCAGTTATTTTTTTTGCACAGGTAAACATTTATACAGCCTTATCCTGGTTTTGAGAAACTCTTATAGAAACCATTGGGAATGTAAACACCTTATCTAGGCTTCTGATCGTCCTCTGATAGTAAATAAGTGGCTGTGATGTTGACAAATTGAGACACACCTGCACACAGATGATCAGAAAACTTAATGGTGCTATAATCATGTGCATATAAAGGAATCTGAATGATCAGGTTTCCTGTGTTATATGTAATGTCAGCATGAGTGCACTCAAAACTAGAATAAGACTCAAAAACAGGAAACTAATGTGCGTGTAAACAGTGATTATTATTATTGACACCCTTAGGTGTGTGCATATGATTCATGCAAGACCAAAGTCTACAGGGCATGTTGTTTTCTGAACAGACAACAAACTCCTAACAATGAATACCATATCAATTTGTCACAGCAGCTTACACTAAACCCACCTCTTGGTTGTCTTCGTGGGCCTGAGCTCGGCCGTCAAAGTGTTTGAGCTTTTCCTCTGGAAGCATCATCATAAAATCCCTCTTAGAATATCCTGTTTTTGAGGGACTCAGCACATTGGAACCACAGGGAGGGGATGCATCCACACCCCTGTCAGTGCTTCCCATGCTTTCAGGGGACCTGGTTACAAGTTTGGTCAAACAAGGAAACATCTTTGAAAAAGGAAGTCACACATTTAAGGAAAACACGTTTTAGTATTTGAAATACTAGAGGGCTTTTTGGAAACTGAACCTACAGAGTACACTTTAAGGACTTACTTAACAATTTCCTGTTTTATTTTCTGTCCAGTGGATAAGCACCACTAAGACCTACTTTGACTGGAGTGCAAATTCACAGGTTAAACTAACATGTTAGTGTGAAGATAAATTCACTTACTCAGTCAGAGACTCGGAGGAACTGGGTCGTGTTTTTGCCATTGTGTGACCATCATCAAACAGTCACTGTAAAAGGTATACATAGACTATATGAAAGAGATATATGATTGCATACTGCTAATGGACCGAACCATCATCAGTCTGTTATTTAACGCTACGTTTGTGTTTCCTTGGTTACACTGCGCGTAACCCACTAGCGTAGGTAGCCTGACTAACTGCTGCTGCTTTCATTTGGACAATGGGCTTAACGTAACCGAAACACTACCTTACGTGACACATTATGATATGTAAAATTCACCTCTACAAACATCATTAACGGCAGCTACCCTCATCAAGCCATACGGACCACCGTGCTGGAGAATCCATCGCTGGCGAAGCTGTTTTGTAGCACAGGCACATAGTGTAAAGGAAGTGGGATGCATTCAAGAACCACGATGTGTTCTTAGGAAACACACTGTCTTTAGTCTGTTGACGAGTGATCAATTGTTTTCATGTATGTGACAAATAATTATGTCAACAGATGTACTAATAATGAGAAATAAATCCAATGAAGCAGAAAATACGACCCATGTTTAATAGGCTGTTTAATGTTTAAAATGTACAGCAATCTGGGCCAAATTCAGTATGGATCAGAAAGTATCTCGTCTTAAAAGAATCTTCATCCGGCCCGGGGTCTGTGCTGTGCCAATAGACACCAGCCCAGGTCCGTTATATGGATTTGACCCAGATTTTATCATTTATCACTATATGGACAAACCAATCAATCAGAACAAGCCTACCAACCAACCAATCAAAGTGCGGCTACAAATTAACCAATCAGAATAAGGCTACAAACCGTCACCATGACCTTAACCATTGACTTTAACTACCAGAATCTAATCAGTTCGTTCTTGAGTCCAGAGTAATGTTTGTGCCAAATTTGAAGAAATTCCCTCACACAGTTACTGAAATATTGTGTTCATGAGAATGGGACAGACGGATGGACGGACAACCCAAAAATATAAAAACCTGCCTGATGCAGGCCGCAAGCCTGCAAATGGATCCTTTCGGGCCAGGTTGCCGGTGAAGGTGGGCGTGCACCCTCTCATACACATTGGGTTTTTTTTGTGGCTCCAAAAAACAAGATGGCGATATCCAATATGCCAAATTCGATGCTTCAAAACATAATACATCATGCTTCAAAACTGCAGTTCACAAACTAATGGGTGACATCACGTTGAGTTGCCACTTGCATATAACTCAAGATTTAATATGTTAATTACGATACCATTTAACACAAATTATAGGATAAAACTATGAAGTAATTACATTTTATATCCAAACCGCCAAAGGTCAATGTGACATAAGGTTCGGCAAAAACACTTCTGGTCAATTTTCAACTCTAACTCAGAAAGAGAGGGGGAGATTGTGACCATAGACCCTAGACCACATTTCCTGCAACAACCATGAGGTAGTTTCTATAGTTACTAATGTTGCCTGATATCTTTCCATGTAGGCATGGGGCTTGTTGTTGTATTAGCTTTGCACACCTGTAAAGATGGGACAATTATTTTCTTAACACCATTATCACTATTTTTTCACTTTTTAAAACTCATTGCTTCACAGGATTTGGTGACATCTAGGAATTCCCAGGGCTAAGTCTAATTGGGGAGAGTATTTGAAAACACCTTCGGGGGTGTGCAGGACCTTTAATTGAAAATGTGAGTGGGAACATGCAGGAATAAAGCACAGTAAAAAGACGTGATTAGGACCATCTGGTTTATTGCCAGATCTTTAGCCCCTGTCTTATTATTATTATTATTATTATTGTTATTATTATTTATTATTATTTATTATTATTATTATTATTATATGATTAAATCCTTGTTGTCATTCTATAATTTTTAATGTAATTTTGATCAATTGCGGTCCAGGAAGAAAGGAGAAAATGTGTGTTCAGTATCTTAACTCGAGGTTAAATTTGTGGGTTTAAATCTGGTTCACGATTTCTGCAAATGTTTGTTTTTTTTCCCCTAATTATTTTTTCTCTTTCCTAATGATTTATTTTTTCTCAAGGTTCACAGCTTTCTGAAATGCCACTCAATGTTAAGTCCCATAAACAGGGTAGGCATATCATTTAAGTTAATTTTTATCATCTCATCATGAGTATTGTACAATTTATGTGAACATGTTGAATATTTTTTGAACATATGAACTGTAGTACTCTGGTATCTCCACAAGATGTCAATATAGTAACACAAGAGTAATATTCCCAGCTATACTGCAGATTTTACAGTTGTGCTCTAGGGAGTAGGCTATTATAACATTGTTGTGCTCTTTTAAGAAGTGATGGCTGGGGTTCTGGCCTCTCCTCAGGGCATTCACACTTCAGAATGTTAAACTACCAATACATAAACCCCGGGGGCATCCTTCCTTTTTCCGTACTACATCCTCAGTATTTATCACACCATTTATTTCATGTTTTGTCAGACCTCTAATGATGTTACTTGTAATTTGTACACATTAATTTGGTCACCTACACATGCTAACAGTCAAACAGTGAAAATGATAACAGCCCAAAGCCCTCAAAGTATTTTATGATGATATGGGGCTTATAATCAATATATTTAGAAAGTAGGGCCATACATTCTCTGTGTCCTCATTGGTTAATATGCTGCATGGAAGTGGCAACATTGACCTTAAAGTTGTTCAAAGTCAGCGTCTAATAGCTCATTAGTTTTAATGAGTGGATGTTAAATGGACTGAAGTCACTGTAGTGCACAGGTTGAGAGGTGTCACTCAGATGAGAAAGTAAACAATGAACCTGAAAGACGTTCCTCTATGGTTTGCAACCCCCACTTTTACTGTATAAAAGAACACTTTGTCCTACAGTGTTTTCTAATTGTGGCTCTCACACTAGACTGCTAGATTTAAATATACTGTATATATATACATATATATATAATATATATATATATATATATATATATGTGTGTGTGTGTGTGTATATATATATATATGTATATATGTATGTATGTATGTATGTATGTATGTATATATGTGTATATATATATATATATATATATATATATACACATATATACAATACTCAGTCATTTTTTCAGGTGCAGGCTGTACAGTTTTGTAGTGACATAAACCTGAATTGGGAGTGTAGATGGATATGAAAAACTGCAATTAGAATTAGAATAAAAACATACTTAAAAAATACAGATAAGGAATACATGTGTTCCACATTATTCTGTACTTTCATAGACATAAATACTATATGTCAATAGTGAGAAGAGGAAATGTACATTTCCTTGTGAAAATATCCTTTCTTACATCAGTGCCCAAAATCCATGCAAAATAAACAAGAAGTAACGTCTCTGTGGCTGCTTTGAGAAATTGGTCTCTGGAGACAGCTTTCTAGGTTAATTTATTCTGTATCGGGCTGGCAGTATGTGTACTGTCACCACTTTTAAACTTGGGGCAGAGCACATTTTGTGTGCAATACTGCCTAAGATAACTTCTTATGGCTCCTTGGGATGATTGCTGCCGGTTGATTCTGGCAGACCATGAGACAACCCGTTTATTTGTTTGTTTGTCCCGTGAGTTTTTGGCTGGCCGTTCAGGGCTCTGTTTGGCCCTGGTCCCTGTTGGGCTTCTATTTCTGAAACCCAAGTGGCTCTTAATGAAGCTGGTAGGGTTGGCATGGGCCCTCAGCAAACCCAGGCCTGATCAGACCCTTCTTCTTCTGCCTTGGCAGCCACACTCCATTTGCTCCCTCTGGCTTCCTAATTTAGTAACGGTGGGTAAAAATATGCGCTAACGAACAAGGTCTGGTATGTCAGGCTAGCGTCCAGAGAAGAGGGAGAGAGGGGAGGGGGTGAGGAGAGGAGGTGGGGTTTGGGGGGGGGGTGGGGGGTGGGGGGGGGGGGGGGGGGGGGGGGGGGGGGAGGGGGGCTGTTTTCACAGCAGGCACCCAGTGACAGGGGTAGAGTCACTCAGATCTCTCTGACATCTGTGTGTTTGTGTGTATGTGTAGACATTCAGGGGAGTGCGTGGGGGTGGATGACGAGTGAGGGGTGGAGGGTGAGCTCTTAAAATTTCTCACCCTTGCCAAACTCCATTCAAACACTTCTAATCATTCCTCTGTTTTATTCCAATCGCACTGTGTGGCTGCTAAGCAAACCTGTGGTATACAGTGCAAATAGACTAATTATTGAAAGAGTTACATTTTCATCTTAAGCTGCTATCTAATGGGTTTTGTTTTTTTAGCACTGTTGCTGTATCAGTTTCCCTTCTTACAAACCTACAATCACATCCATATATTTTGGTACAGTTTTCCAATAAGGCATACTTTATAAATAATAATAAGTTATATACTATGGACTGTATATATCTATAATATTCAATTTGTTAGAAGAACCTTTGGGTGGCTGGATTGTTGCACCGTTGGACATCATTGAACATTGTGTAGGAGGGGCAGATACAAAATAGATAGATTGAGTAATGCTAACTGTCAAAAGAGAAACAAATCTTTATTTTTCAAGTGACTTTTGAGTGGTGTATAACCACATTGTAACCTGCCTTGTGTTTTTATGCTCTGTAATTCATTAGGATGGCCACTTCACTGGATGACCATCCTACACTTCCCTTTCTATAAAAAAGCTACAGAGAATCCAGACTAGAATCCAGGTAGGAGACAACCTATGACTCTTTAGTGGACATTTTGTGTTTTATTCATGTTGTTTGGAGTTGGTGTGTGTACTGCTGGATCTGTAGGGTAACCCTTTCACATGTGAGATACAGAGCTTCCTGGCTCAGCTATACATACTGTAGGTGTTTAGTTACAGACCATGCAGGCAACGGAAGAAAAACATGTTATTTAATGTATGTTTACCCTATACACCTCAGACTTTCAAAGTTCTCCATTTTCCATGGACCCATTCCAACAAACATTAATGGTGAATAACTTTATTGAGGCCATTTCAGTGAAAGACATGGAAGAAGTGGTGTCAGTAAACTTTCTTTTAGTCATATAATGGCTCGAAATATTTGATTCTAAATAATGGTTCCTTCCTACAATGCAAAATGTGCAATGCCAAAGTGCAAGCCATTAAAAAACAACATAGTATGAAGGTAATATGAGTTCATTAATACATTTTTAAGCTTAGAATAACGTCCACTGCTTGAGATGAGTCCTGTGCTTGCAATTACTCTGTTTTCATCTGTCAAGACACTCGACTGTAGAAATCTGCCCTCAAGCACTGCAGCACTTGCCCTTCCTGTTCACAGTTTAAGAGGCTCATGACAACCTTGTCAGCTTCACTTGTAAACCTAAAGCTTTAGATGAAAACAGCAAACCTCTGTGTCTGTTGGAAGATGGCAGCAGCCGAAACA